TTCAAAAGTGTTTAAAAATCAGGTTTTGATTAAATTCTCTTTGACAAACTGAAATAATTTCATCATAATATAAATATGGGTGTATATTTATCCAAATATTAAATTCACTCTATACATGTGTTAAATTTAACAAGAATCAGAGCACTGATTTTGCTTGACGAAGTGATGGCGCGTAAATATGAATAAAATATGAGATGAAGTACATTCGTGCATGCAAGTTATTTGCAATACGGAAATTCGACTCTGAAATTATGCACAGTTGTGTCTATCTTTCATTCAACATTCTTTCCGTGACGAACCAGCCTCAGTAAATCCACTTTTTATCTCTTTACTCATGAAGAAAAAATACAGAATGAACTTATAAAAATTTGAAAAAAAAAAAAAAATAAAATAACATCAATTTCGACTTTATTCACTTCTGAACCACCACAAGGCAGATTTCCAAGCTGTTTGACATAAACATTGGGTGACAGGTATACACATTTCATTTTGCACTGTATAAGTTAGAAGCTTCACGAATCGACATAGAGATACATCCACAACACATACATTTACAACGAAACGTACATTTTAAATACACAATAGTAAACGAAATGAGAAATGAAAAATTTTTTATTTGCAATTTTATTATTTTCTGTGCATTTTTATGATTGTCTGTGGGTGTTAATTGTGAAAAATTCCTTGATTTATTTCTAAAAACATAAAAATGAATTACATGTAAATATTCAAACCTTGCTTTACATTACGTTGATGTTAAAAACTGACACAAATATTTAATTTATTTTGAAAATGAGAAAAGTTTAATTCTCGTTAAATATAAAGTTATCAATAATCGATTGGTGAATAAATAATCGAGCATCATTTAAATATAAGATAAATAATTCACTGGAAAATCAAAAAGAGAATAATTTATTTTATGAAACAAAAAGTTAATTAATCATTTCAATGATTATTTACAATTGACTGAAAGTCTTATTTTAGCTGTCAAAAGTGACTAATGAGAGTATAAAAAGCCTGATACATCAAGTTGAACTTGTCTGTCTATTATTTTTTCAAGTAATAATTCTGGAAAAATTTGATGGTGGAAAATATCCAATAAGCACGATAGCTACGACAAATACGACAGTCTATCGACACAATCTCACGCTTCAAGAACTTAAATTAAGGTGAGAGGAACCTTTACGGGCCACGAAATACGACAAAATAATTTTTTTCTTAAATAATGTACTTGATAAAATTGGAGAGAATCTAGATGAAATTCCATATTTCTTTTATATAACAAACCAGTCTCTAGTCTGGATATTTTATTAAAAAAAAATTATCTAAAATAACTGAGTAGCTGAATGTTTTATATTTCCATTAAAAAAAATACAAAAATAGTTAAAATAATGAGTTTCTATCTACAATCTAGCAAGGATAATTTAATCTAAATTTTTATTATGCATTCGATATCAATTAAACTTTGTTAAAAAAAAGGAGAAGAAGGTATTATTTTTCATTATTTAATATTCAAGCACTGAATCTGACTTAAAAAAGAAGAATAGAGTATAGTTAACCTGATATCAATATAATTATGGTCTACTTGTTTTAAAAAGTTGGAAAAGAATGGACCAAAAAATTACATATGTATATCAGCACCCGGAACACGCTTTAGACATCACTTCTAGAATTTTTATAAGTTACTTCCCTGCTGAACTGAAAAAGGAATTTCAAAAAGAAATTTAAGAAAGAACTGTAAAGGAAAAGTTACGTAAATGATAAGAATAAAGAAAGATGAAACGGTACACAATGTTTTTAAATTTATATGAATTAAAATATTCAACTTTTATTATTCATACCGCATAAATATTCATTATTATCATTTTTTATTTTACTATAAAACTGTTCTTTATTGAAATAATGTGTTTATTGCAACACATTTATTTTAAACGATGTTAAAATAGCCATGAATTATTTCTCTACTTAAAAATTAGCCTGTAAATTAGATACTCATTTTCTAGAAGTAAATTATAATTGTGCTAAAACAGCAGGTGTTTTAAGTGGACGTATTTCTTGGTGTGAATAAAGAGTCTAAGATCGGTGGAGATAACATAGAGTCTGTACATAGAATCTGAATAATTTTGTAATGTTCATATATTAGATTTCAAATTACCACGAACTGCCTGCCAAATATTTCAAACTGAATCAAGCAGTAAATTTAAATTTTCCATTCCATTTAGAGAAATTCATCTTTATATGTATTAGTGCTTTTGTCTTTTCAGAATTTTTTCTTTCATTATTTTACACTACTTTATCACTCTCAGCAATTTCCAACTCATAAACACGTATCAGTGAAATATTTTCTCAACACTAATATAGAGAATAGAATTAAATTTTCGAGGTGAGAATGAGTATAACATTCAAGTCATAACAGCAAAAATCTTCAAATAAATTCCACTCACATCTAGCGTTTTTCTATACACACTTTGAGAAATAATGCAAGAATAATTTTCTGATAGTCATAAATGTGGTATAAAAATCTGAATTTTAGTTAAGAATGGAATGAAAGAAATGTATCACAAGCCAGAAATCTAAATGTGCAATTATTGTAATAGTGTTCTAACAGAAACACTAAGTCCTGAGAGTGGATATTCAAAAGAAATAAAGAACTTGGAGAATGACAGTCAAACAATCATGGCTGACAGTTTTTTCCTATTTTTTTCTATCCTCTCTAGATTTCACTAAAAGATTAAATTCAAATGAGAGATTTTACTAGATTTAATACCGTGTATCTTCGCTTCCACTATATCATCCTGCCGCTTTCTATAATTTTTTTCCTTTTCGAACGAGGAATAAAACGTCTAACTATTTTATCAGTATGCCTCACATTAAATTACTTTTATAACTATTATTATGATGACACAGTTTATATAAAAAAATAATTAGCCATCTCTCAACTTTAGTAATTATGTATTTTTCTTGTCTTCATTATCTCCCATATCTGTAACTACTAATACCCTGCATTTAACTCTGGAAATCATAAACATCACGAAACTATTGTATGTCTAGATGGAACTTTAACACAAATGTCAGAAAATGCCAGAAAGAGCTTTTGTTAGAACAGAAGCATGTATTGTGTTATGATATTGTAAGAAATACAATACGGGAATAATTCTTGCAATGACCGCCTTCAGAAGTTTCTAGATTTTAGGTCAAGCATGAAAGTCTTTCATCAACTTCTTCATTTTGAATACAATCAAGTGAGGAATTATTTATCTCTATAATTGAAGAATAACTTTAGATTGATTCACGTATTTATTAATTAGAGCTATTTCAATTTCTATTCTACTAGTTGGTTATGAATCAATATAATTATTTGTAATTTATTAATTATCAATGATATTGAAGCTCTAATGCTTAGTCATTTATAAGGAAGATATCATTTGATAAATAATTATTTGAATTAATAGAATGTTGTAATACCAATTAAAAATTAATTAGTATTGATTTATCATATGTTCTGAATTGCTATCAGCAAAATAGCAACATCTTCTGATATCCTGTAAAAATCTTAAAATGCAGGTGAGCCTGCAGCTTTCCAAGCGATTTAATCGCTAAAAAGAAAAAAGCTTACACTGGGATGAACGTTAGTATATATGTATGAGAGTGAAAAGAATTTGTAAGAAAGAAAGCAGAGCATTTGCTATAAAAAGATTTCAAAAACTATTCTCATTTAGGTTTTCCTTACTCTTTTTTCAACTTCACCCCGAGAAAATTGTTCATTAATCCCATCAATGAGGAGACAATGATCGATGAATGCAACAGAGTTCAAGCTTTGGTTCATGAGAAAAAATATAAGTAAAGTATCTACTGATGAGTCACTTTTTTTGAAGAAAGTAAACTTTATTTTCCTCTCAACAACATGTATTGTTATGTTGTGATGAAGAAGGAGTAAATTCAGAATGTTGTCAGACAATGAACTCACAACATGTGGAAGTTTAGTTTGATTAATTTCTTCTGTATGAGAGATTAAAAGTAAAATAGGTTCTCGAAAAAAAGTTTTCTGAAAAAATATTATACTGATGTAATAACTTTACTAAGTTTCTCAATAATTTATGAATAAGCTAGAAATTTAATTGATCATTCAATATTCATGAATTTAGTTGTTTGGAATAATTAATTAATTTACAATTATCAGCTTGTCTACAGCTGGATGGACTAATTCATTGGATATCAATCATTTGTTTATTTATAAAAAATATCTGTTTATCTGATATATTTGCTAGTTAGTTGCTATCTCGAAAACCAATGGGAGGATTTGGGTGTGGTTTACTCTATTCGATAGCTTAGTCCCTTGAAACGGCTTTAGTCTTTGAGTGAGATGGGTTAATTAAGTCTCAAGTCACAACGGACAAAACCGTTGGCAGGTTAATGCTTTACATTGTATTAGAATTTCAAATAGGTGATATTGTTTCTTTCATGAATTATATAAATTTCCTAACATACAAAACATCTTGAAGCTCTAATTAGTCATGTCTTTTTTAATCTGTCACATTTATAAAAGAATTTCATGAGAGAAGTGATGCAATTTAAGTTAATTTAAATAATTAGTAATTAACTGGTCAGTTTCACTGATTTAATTAGTTAGATTCACAGCGGTATGCCTGAAACTATTTAAATTAGTACAGATTGATTGACAATTAGTAGCCTCTACTAATATAATCCAATTTACAGAGTAAACATGTTATTTCTCATACTTCTAATCATTCATCTTTAATTTTAGTATAAATTTTAAGAAATTGTGAAGTTATTTTGAAGTTACAAGTAATTAAGAAATAGCTATGTAGTTAACTTCAACTTCAACTTTAAACGTAAGTCTTGAGACTCTTAAATAGGCAAAAGAGTCTTAAAAAAAAATAGCTTAACTTCACGATAACTACTGTTTAAGACATTTAATCATTAATTAAAATGATTTTTTTAAGTGGGAAGAATTGTTATTTTATAATTTAAAATTTTTATAGTTACAGAATTATCAACAACAGAATCAACCACTACAACATCTACAAAGACAGCCAAAGTAACAACCACTGCTAAACGCTCTATTCCAACGGATTCACCAATGCTCAACTACATATTTGATATCCACAGTACACTAAACAAACATCAACATCACAGAGATAATCGTTGGGGTCCTCACTTTGAAGGAGAGAGTCAGAATGTAACAGCTCAAGCTGGCGCAACAGTTATGCTTGACTGTAAAATATCATTACTTCAAGGGAAAACTGTAAGTGGTTTATTTACCAAAGTTATTTCCTTAAACATACATACAAATCATGTTAAAATCTTTTTAACATTAATTTTAATCTATTTCTCACTATTCTCAATTATATTTCATTTAATTTACCTTAAATTTGTTTTTACCAATTTTTTTTTCAATTAATTATGATGAAATTCATAACAAAATATCATTTTCTTACTATGACGGCTATTGATAAATGATTTCATCTCTTTCAATTGGCTAAATAAATGATGTAACTAATAAAGGGAATTTAATCCTTTCAATTAATGGGCTCAATCAATTTCATCAAGTAGAAAAAATTCATGCAAGAAAGACAATATTAATAGGGTCATATTGAAACTTGTATTGCTCATTATAGTGCTATAACTGTTCTATGATTAATTATCTAGCAATATTTATGTAAATTCCGTAATTAACTTGCTACTGTTTGATTTATATGATCATTTACTCAAAGCTAAACATCAAAATTCAATAACATTATTATAAGTTTGATGGAAAGTACGTTCGTGGAAGTTTAATTAATCAAATTTTTCCATTATATAGTAACATTTTTGATTGAAATACTTGAAAAAAGAATCAAAAAAAGGTAGCATAAACGGATTAACCATCAATAACCCGTTGAAGTAAATCTAGTAAATGAAAGTAAATTCAATAGTTCAAAACAGTACAAGCGTCGAAATTGACGCCCATGTATGGTCTGACCGTCGTTCCTTGTTCGTGCAATGATGTCCATCAGTTGACGACCACTTGTATAGAAGAGGAATCGGGTATTTCACGTGTACAATGAACCTACGCGAGAACAACATATTGTCCAATTGCATAGTTAGCTAAATAAATAGCTATGCTATGCACAAGTAGAACTACTCTTCTGTCTATGACCGTCAATTGTTCCAATCAATACGATTATCACTAATTCTAGCCATACCGCTATCGACCTGTAAAAGCTCTTCATCACGTTTAAATTGCGCTACCGGATATAAACCTGGATTTGAGAATTATCGTTAAACATCACTGTGTCGGAAACGTATTTTTGTAATTAATGGGTTACTAAGAATAGCTCTTGTAACAAGTTTTTATACTGCCTTTTGGAATTGAGAATTACAAATTAAATCTAGAGAAAGAATGTTAGTTTAAATGATTACAAAAAAGTCACCATTTAATTATTTATACTAGAAGTAGTTGAATAATAAAATTTAATAGAAAAACATTTCATTGTAAAATTTTCTAAAAATCAATGAAAGGGTCATATTGTTGTGGTTCGAATAAATGGGATAAAGTACATATTTTTAATTTATATTCCACAGGTATCTTGGTTACGAAGACATGAGGATGGTGAAAAAATGACACTTCTTACTTACGGTCAACAAACTTACACTGGTGATCCTAGATACATGGTTGACTTCCAATATCCTGATAACTGGCGCCTGAAAATAAAAAGTGTAAACAGTAGTGATGAAGGCCAATATGAATGTCAAATAAGCACACATCCGCCAATGACAATTGTCGTTAATCTTCACATTAATGGTAAATATGATTGATTATCAATTTTTTCAATTTAAATTTATTAATTTCTTTATTATCCAGAAAAAATGAAATATTTAAAAATGTTAAATCTTGAGATTAAATCAATTGAATTATTTTATTTCTTGGTTCAAAGTCACAGACTCGCTGAATGATAAACATCACATATTTTTCAACAGAAAAAGAACATTACAGCAAAAACAAGTCTGCCAGTGGAGTAAATATTTTTCCAATAAAAAATCTATCGAGAATAAATCAAAAATTGAAATAAACTTTTTACTATTCTAAAAAAAATTATCCTGAATCAAGCAGCGTAATTAATTATATTTTATTTTCTCTAGAATAGTTTTGAAGTTCAGTGGCAAACCGAAAAAAAAGAAGGTGTTGGAAGCAATTTTCATTCCATGATATATAGCTCAAGTATCATTTCCGCAGTTGCTAGAGGGATAGCATCAAAGAGATTCCTTTAAAACCGTTCAACGATTCCCCAATTGACCAAGTCAATCATCTTTTTTTTCTTCATCAAGCTCAAGTTTGTGAATTGCACCAAAGGTAGTAGACGATCTGCTGTAATGCTTTGAACGATCAAGTACGCAAGACACGTGAGAAATGGAAACGCTAGAAACTTCATTTCGTTGAGTGGTCCAATGGGATTGTATTAAATCCTACTCGAATATCCATCTTTCAAACATCGACCAATTCATCAGAAAGGACTTCCAGATATTGTCAACTTTTCAAAGTAATATTAAATTTTGTTTTATATACTTTGGAAATATTTAAACATCCATTTTATAAGTTCAAAAGATTCAGATATTAGAAGAAATACAATTTTGAAATGTTTCACAAGAAATAACATCGATTTATGAAAGATTGAAAAATGATATAAAAATCAAAGTAAGAAATTAAACAAATATTACAGCTAATTAGGAAAAATTTTTAATCTGATAGCCAATCAGTACCGTTATTCTTTATGTCTATGATTATCAATTTTTTACTGCTGATGTTACTACAATATTTTTATTTACTAAAAATAAGAACTGAAATATTACGCTGCTACTCATTAGTCTCGTTACAAGCTGGTGAAAAAATTATAATATGCTTGGTTATCAAGTAATTTTAATGGAGGTACTTTAATGTGGAAACAAATGTAAAATATGATCGAACAATATCAAAAATAATGAAAAAAAAATTGGAAAAAAGGATGAACCGAACGAATGAAAATAATGCAAGGAGCTTGCATAATTGCAAACTGCAATGAGTAAAGACGAGGCTTTCAGAAATTACGAAAAGATTCCAACGAGAATTTTTGCGTTGCAATGAGAGCTGAATAATAAAGAGTCATATATTAAAAATGTGAATGATGAAAGAAATGAAAAGTATAAAAGAAAGATCTATTTTGACATCCGAAGTAAATAGATAATTTTAATGAATAATTTCGATGTTCATTCGAAAAATAGGATTAAATATCGTTCAGTTTTTATATATTATCTAAAGGATTTAATGAATTGTATTATGTGGCTTAAATAATGACGTTAATACAATCCCGAGCAATATTTTATTAAAGCTCATTATAAAGACAAAAATTGATTGAATTGTAATATGAATACTAGGCTATATTTCTCCTATGAATATTCGTTTCATGAATGAGAAGCTACTAAAAAAACAAATAAAGAATAATTTGATGAATTTTAGTAGAATGAAAGCAATTGAGTAATGAATTGATTTAAAAAATGAGAAGATAATAAATAGCATAAAAGATTCATGATAATAATTGCCAATGGTATCTACTGTTTTCCAGCAGTTAATTAAGTTTCTAAAAAATTTCTGTTTTCGAACAAAGTTTCTCACCTAAATACACTTTTCTTACAAATTAAGCTGCACGTGCAAGCTGCAAGGCAAGCTCTTGAGTAACACTGCTGATCATTTCCTCAGCTACAATGCTGATGCAGCATTAATATAAAACGTGTACAAGAGCAAACGTAAGCATCGGAACACTTGTAGAAAGCTTAAGTGACAATCACTTTCTTAAGAAACTTCTTCATTAAAAAGTTTATTTATTTTATTCATTATTAACACAGTTCTCACCATACATCATTTCGTAATCTACTCATACCAGAATAGTTGAGAATTCGAAAGAACTTACATAAAACTTAATAATCAATAGTTTACGATATTTTGTTACTTACTCATGCTAGAACTTTTGTTTCAATATTCATGATGTTCATCAACACAAACACCTTACATGGAAAATTTTTGAGGGATAATCTTTTCGTACTTTGCCATGTACTAACCACAAGATAAAATCTCCGAGATTACCAAGTTTATCTCGACTTAACCGTGAGGATAATCCTTTAATCTTTGAAAAACATTTTAATAAATATTATTATGAAGCTTTTAATATAAAAGATTTTTGAAGATGATACTCTACTACTAATTTATTTTCTATTTAATCTTAAAATGACAAAAACAACAAAATGCTACAATTACATAAAAATTGATTAAAAAAGACATCACTAGTTACATTAACAGCTTAAGTATTTTATTAAATTTTATTTCTCAGAATACGTTGTAACACTAAAATTTTATGGTGATTCACACATGATGGAGTTATAAAAGCTTAAGCATTACACCTGTTAATAAATAAATTAATGATGCCATCAATTTAATAGGCCAAAGTATGAAGTTGTTACATCAACAAAATCCGAGATATTGATTCTAAAAAATGAAAAGAGGTTGATAAAAAAAGGTAAATATCTGGCATGAATAAAAATACCAGATAATCGTAAAATTTTGATACAATAATAAAATGTAGAAGCCAACAACTATAAATATATAATATTGCTATTCAGGAAGTTCCAAGATAAAGACAAAGAAGTATTGCAAACAAGCTGACAGTAATGTAACCATGGCATTCAAAGGATCTTGCATTCCATACAGATACTGAGAATCGAGCTTGACTATTATATGAGGCATATGCTAAAATCCAGAACGATCTGATGCAAAAGACGTCGGGAAGAAGGGAGAGAAGAAGAATAGACATTGAGGAACGTAAGATCTTGAGGGCACTTCCTACATATTTATGAGTCATTGCGCTCCCGGTATTTCTGAGACAATGAAAGGAATGAAAAATTGACAATAGAAATATCTCCGTAGATATGATTATGTGGCTTACGGCTGTGAATTGAACTAGTTTTTATAAAACTTGAAAAGCAGTAAATAATGATAGTGAAATAACTGAAGATTAACAAATAGATAATGATAAAAAAGGATTAAATTTAGTTGCTAAAATCACTCAATCTTGTTGAAATAAATAGTTTTATGCAATTAAATTAAAAGAAGCTTTACGAATATCGACTTTTTTTCATGCTAATTTTACTGGTGATTACTGTGATGAAAATAAAATGAATGCTCTTTTTGAAGAATAAAAAAAGTAACAAGTGGAGTTTAATGTTCTGTACTTAAGTAAGACGATGACTTCATCAATCAATGAGCAAAAAAAAAGATACTGCACTCACGTCTTACAATTAATCCCTATACGTACTTGAAAGAAAGAAAGGATCAATATTAGAAAAGCTGCTCAACGTCAAAAACGAATGGAAGGTGTTCAATCGAGAGTAACGCAAAGAAAAAAATCCACAAGGTAGATAGGTACTCTCACAGTTTTCAAGAGATCTTGGAGACAAAACTTTTTCGCGACACAGAGCTACTGAAACTTTATGCACCTGCGACCAGGATAGAGGCTGGATCACAAGAAGGTCCTTCGGGAGTGTGAGAAAAAAGATACTTTTGACGAAGGAAAAGCACGCCGTGTAAAGTCTGACTTTGAATCCCTGTTCTTTTTTTTTGTTTCTCATGAGATTTACTCTGAATTTCACCTTAGCGATGTTTTATATTTGATCCTACCTGAATGCTTGTTTCAAACTTTTTCTTGCAGTTTTCATTTTTTCACTTATTCCCTAACCTGGATTTTTTTCTTTCAGCACCCTCGGTACAAATTGTGGACGCAATGGGGGAACCACTGAGAGACAAGTATTACGAAGCGGACAGCACTATAGAACTGTTGTGTGTAGTTCGACACATGGCAATGCAAGTACAATACAGTGTGGTTCAGTGGCTTCATGGCAATAGGATTTTAAATTATGATACTACCAGAGGTGGAATTAGGTAAGCTGTGGTACTTAAAAAACTAGCTGTCATGAGAGAGAAAAAGAGCATAAAATATAAACTTGAAAATGTTCACTCGCCCGCATCGAACTCGATTAAAATTTCACACACATTTAATGTATCCTGTGGTTCATTTCCCGAGGAGTGCCCGCGCACCAGGAGTTTCAGAGTCCACAAAATCGTTATAGTTACTCTGAAAACCTTAACTCACCAACTAACTGTTACTTCCGTCTGCTTTCAACTAACGGATCTGAGCATTTCTACTTACAAGGGATGAGTTTTAGAGTCTGCAAAAAACTCAAATACGTTTTTAATTGCAGATACGGGCATTGTCGCAATCTATTTGAGTTTTTAAAAAGAAAATGAAAGTGAATTATTGTAAAAACCAACATTATAAATCATAAGTTGACGTATGGAAAATAAAACTCTTCTGAAATTAAATTGCAATTACGGTTTTACATCGAGAAGTGATTTTAAAATCTCTTTTATTAGCTGTAGGTAAATAAATGTTTCAATTAACAACTTGATGAAGTTCTAATCTATTCATCATGTTATTTAGATTGTAAAAAAGTATAACTTAATTGATTAAAAATAAATTCAAGTTGAAAGAAATATCATAAATAAATAAAACTGAATAAGAATTAGAAAAAATGTATGGTTGTAATTCATCATTTTATCATCTCTACTTGAGATAAAGTCACTGATGGATAAGTGTGGTTCATTAAATCATAAGGAAATAATTTTTTTTCAGTATCAATTAATATGGAAGCTTTTAATTAATATTTTTAGAAGTATTAAAAAATTCCAATTAAACTTAATTTAATAGAATCCAATAAAATATTGAATTGTGAAAGGTTTCGAATATTTTGTAGAGACTATTCTAAAGGCATTAACTTTAATCGATTCGATAAGTGTCATTTAAAAATACTTGAGAAAATTTGAATTATTCAATCGAATTTCCTTCTTAAACAAAGTTTAACTCCCCGCATTCTAATAGAAAATTTTCAACATTACAACGGTAATTGCACTGTAATAAAGCTACTTTTCCAAGCACAGTGTTCTCTCGTTAGGAATCCTATTGTCAAGTTCTTCAAGTTATCCGTTGTTTCGCAATGACTGTAGAATTCCCCCGTCTTGGTAATAGTATCACTTTATTCACAGTCAAGAGCGAAGAAAGATCTGAGAAGAAATTTACAGTCTCGTTATTTTATTCTTCATTGAGAAGTAAAGTAAGTGGTTTAAATAGTTAAATATCACCATGATAAATGTTTTCATCATTTCTAAGGATCTTTATTGTTGGCAACAACTATGTTTTCACTGATTCTAAGTGAAAATCAAGTTGTAAGTTGACGAGGGCAACGTTAACGAGTTTCCTCTCAACAACTGGACTTCTTGGTCGTTGAATTTACTTCAATAATTTTCAACATTTCTTGTTGACCTTATTCCAACGTCTTAGTTTCATCAGAGTGTTCTAGATCTTGTGATTTCCTGATTTTCACGGCTTTGGAGTGCCGAAATGATTTTTATCTCTACTTCTTATACCAACACAATTCTTTTTCATTAAAGTGTAATAAATATTTTCACAACTAATTAAAAAAATTCCACAAGAAAAATTCTAAAGTATATCACAATTTTAAGGGAATTTTTGATCAATTTGTTATTGAGCTTAGAAATCTTAATCACTATTGAAAAATATTTTCACATTCATTTTTATCTGCCTTAATTTCAATTAGTTGTACATGAAAACAAAGTATTAAGTAGAAACAAGAACTCACATTAAGAAAAACCAATAAATCTTCATGAAAAAAAAAGTGAAAGAAAAAAAAAGAGTAATTTAAAATAAATCTTCTCAAGGAGAAAGATCATCCTCTACTAATTTACTTAATTACCCAGTCCGAAGGTTTCATTTAGATACCTTTTAAAAGGGTTTCTTTAGTTGACTTGACAACTTGTTTCAGAAACATTTATATTTTTTTTCCTAAGGCAAATTCTCTTTTGCATTGAATATGTATTTTACACAAATATTTCTCAAGTCATTGAATCTTGTGAGTCTGACGAAATATAACAAACAAAATTTAAGAAAGAAATGAAAATGTAGCTTTGTGTACTCATGGTAATCCAAGAACGTGAATATGCATTCACAACGCCAATACTACGAGTGGTTCGTTACTGCACAGTAAACTGTGTTGATCGAATTATCGCCAAATTCGATAAGCATAGCCAAACCCTAATAGATTTCAATGAAACCAAACGCCAATTCAATAAAATGAAAACTTATTTTATTATTAAATTCATACTCATATTCAAATTTACTTCAGAGGATATTTTTATGATTTATTATTGAATGTATCAATACTATAAATTTTTAAATGTTAATTTATTGAAATAAACAATCTCAACCTATTTTATTTACAATTGTTTTATAAACATATTGAATTATGACTGATGGAAAATGATCTTTAAAATAATTTATTGGTTAGCGCCGTGTATGACAATTGTATTTCCCTATCGATGGTGAACCTTTCAAACAATTCTAGCAAAATAAACTCAGGCCAGTCAAATATCACTGATTAAAAAAACTTTTTAGCTATTTAAACTTAGATTCTAAATAAGATGCTAATAATTAACTAGAGTATTTATTAAACCGTGAATTAGATAAGTAGACTCTAAAAAAATTTGAAAAGTAGTATCTCAACGAGTAAAGTGAATGAATATTGAGTATTATTTAACAATAACAGTAAGCTAACCCATGGAGCCACTTGTAGATAATGAATGGATAAGTTGTGAGAAAAAGTTTTTCAATTAAAGTTTTGAACTAAACCAGCAGAGGTAGAGTCTACTATGCAGCTTACGAGAATTCACGCCATAGCCTCTTGTTTGTTAGTCAAGTTACTTATTTATTATTGTTTTTATTCTATTCAATGTACTTATATGGAGGTTAATTTCAGTTCATGTGGCATCTACCTCTAATCATAATAACTATAGTAATATGATTATTATAATAATTATTATAATAAGAATTATTATCACTACCATGATGATTATTGCTTTTGTTGAATATATTAATACTGCCACTACTAAAGCAACTGTCGACTCTGAATATGAGTTCAAAATAAACTTTTAATTAATGTTATTTTAGTGTGAAGACAGACTTGATGGATGTTGGTGCAAATTCAACGTTGAGTATAGCAAGAGTGGGACCAGCCGACAGTGGTAATTACACATGTGTTCTCACTACCATGCCAGATCAGCCTGCAATTGTCCATGTTCATGTACTAAACGGTGAGGGCCAATCATTAAAAATTTTAATAACTTCTTTTAACCTCAAAGAAGCCTGCCTATCAAACATTCTGTCTAAATTTCCTATCTTTCACCATTTTTATGGGAATGAAAAATTTTAATAGTCATGTTTGAGCAGTTTTTCTTTCAAGTCATTCAATTTTTATAATTATTTTTATAGAAAACTAAGATTCAAAGTTAGTACCTTTGTCAACAAATCTGATTTAGAAATAATTGAATTTTGATTTATAAATGATATATATGATTTATGTGAACTTTTGAATCATTTATTCATCTAAGCATTTTTACGCATAAATAATTTCCATAGCAATTAATACATCATAGCATTCTGTTCAATTGATCGACTATTTGAATACGAAATCACGTTAAATTGAGCTGAAACTAAACATCTATTAACCATCAATAAACTGAGTCTTAATATCAAATCTGTTTCGTGCCAATATCAGTAAATCGTCCTGTTTCAAATGAAATTAATTAATAATAAAAAAATATCTTTCAATAGAAAAAGTATTACCAGTACTAAAAACACCTCTATTTCCACTGCAACAAAATTTGGATTTTGTATGGATGAAAAATTTTCCAATCAACTCTATAATAATTTAAATGGAATTTAATATCGAATGATTGTGAATAATTTATCTAATCAAATAAATACTTTAATTTATTAATATATTATGCGTATTTACGAGGACATTTTTTTAATCATTTAATGTATCTGTCAATAATCATTAACACATTTATTCCTCTGAATAAAATTTTTCAACAATTCTGTACAAATAATTCTTTAGCATAATTCAACATTAATATTGTTTGATAAAATATCAAGTATTAAATTACTGGGTAAAAAATTTTCAACAAAGCTTGAATGAAAAAATAATGTAATTCAAGGACTTTTTTTATAAAAAACCGATGCCGTAATTTTTTGCAATAGTTAACACTCCCAACTCTAGTATCTCCTATTGTTCTTATGCTAGCCCCAACACTTGACAGCTTGAAGACAAGGTACTGAAAGGGGTTACAGCCCCTTCTAACAGTCTACCTATCACAAGAACACTCAACCGAATAGCCCTCAATGATGTTCTTTTGTTTGAACTTTAGTGAGTTTAAATTCACTATTAGATAGCTATAAATATCCACTCATTCTTTACCCTTAAATATTTCCTATACGAAACAGAGGTATTGTCACTTTCAAAGCACGTTCTATTTTCTTGTTTCGTCTTTTTCATCAAATAAAAGAAGCCCCTTTGATATATTCTATATCTTTTCTAGTAATGTGGACATGAAAGAGATGAAATGTTTGAGTGACCTTTTTTTGTTTCAGGAGAAAGTCTAGCCGAGTTACATCATGGCACAGCAAACGTGCAAACAGTCCAGGACACCTATCCACTAGTTTTCTTTGGTTTTATCCTGGCACAACTGCTCTTAGTACCGAGATGAAGAATCGTCAATACCAACAATTCTATTGTAAAGACGATAAAAAAAAGTGACAGTCTATAGAACGATTGAAGTGAACAAATCATCATTCTTATATCATTAAATAATTGATAAAAGTGTATTCGTGAAAGACAATTTACGGATGTTTGAGTAATTTATATATTTATCGGGAAAAAATATCTATCAATGATAAAAATTGATGATGTGATTATTACATTCATAATTCAATATCGTCATCACCAAAAAAATATATGCGAATTTTGTAAAAAAAAATTACCTAATTGAGTTATCGAATTGTTTAATTGTTCTGTTTTTTGTTAATTGACTGTCTGAAATTCTTTTTGAATGATGTACATAATTTATAGTTGAATCATGATGAAAGATATAAGGTTAATGTATAAAAAAATTGTTATTATTTATTGAGTATTAAAAAAAAAAATAAATCGTATGAATTTAAGTAATTAACATTTACATACTATCAAAAAAAAATTGTAATTACTGTTAATATTGTTTGCAAAAAATTTAAGAAAGCCATTGTTGAGAAGATTACAAAAGAGTTTACTACAAATCTGGCAACAATTCAGTTTATGCTCTTCGATGGTATGCAAAATTAATTTAATGTGTTTTGATGCATGTAAATTTCACGTTGAATATTTTACATGGATTCTGAAGTCAATTTCAAGAGCATGGTGATGCCTATTTCAAGTTGTTAGTAAAGTTCATGTATGACATGGAGAAGAAGATTAGAGAAGTTCGCGCAAAGCGATTGTCTTTGAAGAATATTTCTTATGCTTCGGGAAATCTGCACATGAATACGAATGAAGTTTCAAGAAAGGTAAGAAAACTAGAACAGGCAGGAAATTTGTACAAAAATATGGAAGAAACGTGGGAACACATTAGAAGTAAGATGACACATATCTATAAAAACTACTTGCACAGAAATTCAGATAAATTTGGTCACATAAACCTCAGTCAGTTTTAAAACTTCACTGATTTAAAATTTAATAAAAAAAGATTCTATCCAATAAGCAATTAATAATAAAATACTTATTTTAGATGTGAGATTTACGAGGAGAAATAAAATGATAATAAAAAAGAGTGTTACAAAAAATAAGAAAATGTTCCGGAACTTAAACCCACACTTCAGTGACTCCCTGCTTGCTTTACAAGTCCCAATAGTACAATTGCAAACGACCACTTCAGACTCCAATGTCATGCTGAGTATCACTTCCGAGTTTTTCAAAGTGTCAACAACGTTTTTAACAAAATGACAGTCTAATCGCTAATGCTCTACCATTAACAACTTTATGGTAACTTTATATAGGTTTGTAACTCATACAAAAGTTTATTTAAATTCAACTTTAAATTTTTCTCAACTTCTTTTTCAATTTTTTATTTAATTATTTCTATAGATTTCTCGTAGGTGAAAAGAAACTAATTGTTTAACAGAAAATTTTGTTTGGTCCATGCTGTCGCAAAAAAATTAACATTTTAAACAAAATAACTACACAAATTGTGGTAATTAGATGTAAACTCTTTACCAACAAAAAAATATTTAAAAGCAGATAAAAATATTCTAATTAACCTCACTTTACTTACTTTTCCATAACAATTTTTTTAATTACTGTTTTGTATAATTTAACATTAAAAGTTTTCTATCATTAAAAAACCATTAAAACAATTGCATTCTCTAAACTCTTTTTTTTTGTTGTATATTACATTTTAATCATTCAAATGAAACTATTCAGAACCATTTAATTTTATTTTATTAGAATAATTACAAATAGAGTAACATTACAAACAGATTATGGGAAGAAAATGATTAAAGTTATACATTTTTTTGGCTAAGTGAAATGTTGTCATTTAAGTTAGAGTATTCAACTAATTAAAAAATTTCAATTTTTAGCTTACATTTGAAGCAGTAAATATTAAGAAGGTAAAAGTATAATAGAAAAATACGTTAGTGGTATAAAATTACATGCAACCGTACCAAAGAGAATAATTTTTACCAAGCGAGCTCGCAAGGACACTAGCGTCCTAGAAGTAAAAATTACTTCAAGAGTCAGCCAGCGTGGAATACATGAATGCATTTTCTTCTTTATTCGGAACCGCAACCATTTTAATCAAAAAAATTTATTATATTTTATAGGATACTTAAAATGTCTCGAGAAAAAAATATCTAAAGAAAGTGGTTGTTAATATTATACAGAAACTGCAATGTAGCTACTTTCTTGTATATTATTTCTTTACTTAAACCGTGCAACAAAGAAAATAAATGTGATTTAACTATAGTAAATGCTACCATTATTTTTTATTTATTCGTTTTGCCAAAATAATAAAGGAGCTTACTATAATGATAGCATTAGACTGGTACTTTCAGAGATTTAGATTTCGATCAGTTTTGTGGATAATAGAATAAACTTTTTGAAAACTTTATATAAACCAATAAGTTTTCAACAGTGGAAATGAACTACTTATTAAAACAGGTAAAAACGATATTTTTATCACCAATTTTTCTATCTCTTTCTGATTAAATTGATTTTTATTTTATTTATTGTTTAGATACACACCATCCATCTCCAAAGGGTATTTTACGTTGATACTACTTCATAGTAATGAAAAATTATTTTATAATTTACTGTGATAGCTAATTCTTGCAAGTTAAGCTCTAGATGTTTGCAATTGTTTTTAGGTAACACAAATAGGTACTACATAATTTAAAAAAACATAAGAATAAAATTACACACAAGAGCAAAAATAGCAATCAATACAAAACATCTTTCCAATATAAGTGGAAATATATTTCAATATTTTTTATCGACTAGAAAATACAAACAATGAAGTTGAGAATAATAGATTAACAAAACAGAGCTATTCAAAAAGTTATAAAAATAGAAATTGAAGTGTATACACTCAATATTGAGAAAGTATCACTGATACTCTACAACATTTTATTAATAAACCGTATGTAATGTATTTGTAATTGGACAATATGAAAAATTTAACGTTATGAGTTATCAATGATAACAATAAAATTATTCGAATAATATAAAATTGGATAATGTACAATGATAAAATTTGATAATATCGGGGAATTAATATTCGAACAAGGAATAAACACTGTTAGGAATAAAATATTAATATTTAATTATTGTAAAAGGATTCATTGAATAATGGTTTCATTACCAGAACCATATACAAAGCTTATCAACTGATACTCCTAATTTCAAAAATGTTTTATAAAACATTATTCTGATGGTTATTTATTACATGATATATCATATTTATAAGGAACATTATTGGAACCATACCAAAAATGTAACGAGATATGAGAAAAGTCGATTTAATTAATTTCCCTGTGTTATATTTGTGTCATTACAATTGTTTCCCTCTGCAAGTTTGAAGTATTGAAATTGTACGAATGGGAAGAAATTCACACGGTTAGTGTGTTATACATTTCGAATGAACAATAGCCATACGCCAAGTGACACATACTCTATAAGTGAGAATAACCATTTGTACATATATATCATCAACAGCATACGAAAGAGCAATCGAATAAATTGAAGTAACAATATAACTAGCAAAAAAGGTAAAATTGCTGTCTTTTTGAATTGTAAACGTTTATTATATTTTCTCAATAAATCGCCCTATACAAATAGACGTGGAACAATAGCAAGATCAATATCACGACCACAATTCATGAAACAAACAACCCGTTAAAATCTTTTTTTCATGCTAAACCACTAAAACACTTTGTTGAAATCATATAAAGAGTACTTGTTGAACAACACCTTATCAAAATAGTTTATCGAATTAGAAATTTATTAATTGATCATCAGACTGTAATATCCATTTTTCTATGCTATTTATTAAGTTATCCATCTCATTTGTGATGGTCCGTTACATTGTTAATTATCGCAATAGATAGAATGTTCATTTGACGTGAAATCAATCATTTAAAATTGTAGCATTTTAATATTTATTTCAAATTATTTATTAATTAACCATGAAATGTGAGCTAGAAATATATCGATTACAAAAGTTAGTGAAGCATAAAATTTTATTCAATTACTTGTTTTTATTCGATATTATCGCATTGTTAATACGGATACCGAAATTTATTTGATAGGTTAAAGTCTCAGAGTTTAATGAAATAATGTTATCATAATAAATTCCAGTTTTATTCAGTTTATCGGAGATTAATTAGTTAATTAATTATATATTTACCTGTCTAAAAACAATATAATAATGCTCCAATTGTTCTATGCTCCAAACGAAGATTATTAATACATTGCACTTTCTATTCAAAATTTTTTCAATACAAACTCTATATTTAACTAAAAATATATATACGATTAAAATATAAACACTAATAACTTTTTATAATTTATTTATTTGAATTATTAATTCTTTCAAACATATTGAAACATAAATTAAAAATGCTTGAACGCGACAAACAACTTTTCGCCATGATAATGACGCACTTTTTGAAAAAACAGCGACACCAATGGCGTCCTTTGAACTATTTACGCAGTTCATTTGTCAGCTGACTGGTGGCCTACAAATATGAAAGTAGGTCAAGTTTATTGCCTTCGATATATTATTCAAAAAATCCCCATAGAGTCGTCAGTTAGAGTTAAAATGCACAATTTTAATAAAAACATTAATTTTAAAAAAAGATTTTAAATTGATTTAATTAAATAGTTACATAAATATAAAAACAAAACAAAATCTCTAATAGAAATTCATGGTATAACACAAAGGGGGCCCCTCACTGCCATATGACGTCATCTTAAAAGTTCAAAATGGCGATATATGTGTTTGCAGGAATCCTCCAGTGAACATTACTTTAAAATTTTGCAAATACCAAACTTCTGAAATATATATAATAAACTGATAATGGTATCATACATCAAATTTCATCTAATTTAACATTATTTCAGTAATTATTTTTTTGAAGAACAATAAATTAAAGACAATAAAATAACTGACAGTGATATAACGATATCTTTAAAAAAAACTTAACCATGGAAATATTAAATATTTTGTCTATAAATTATTAGTTATTTATTACAAACGACATTTTTCGTGTAATTTAGTATAATGAGTATGTGTATGTGCTGTATGGGACGTGCCAGTAGTAAAGTAGATGAATGGTCCGGCTTCATTTTATTGTGAGAACACAATTAAGCTGTGTGGTGACTAATATGATACCAGACATGTAGTAAGGTATATTTGATCCACATCATAAATATATTCATTTTATAAATGAACTTACAAATGGTTTTTTATTTGCAGTACTTTTATTTCACTGTAATGTTCTATCAAAAGTTATATTTAAATTGGAAGGATGCAGAGAAATAACTACAGTACGATTAATAAACCAATATTCTTTATCAGATGAACATTCCTCTAATTGCATAATTTGTTCGCCTCATAAGTCTGTTCATATTCGGTAATTATAATTCTGAATGAAATAGATAAGCTTACATTGCATTTGATATCTGCAAATTCAAATAAGGTAATATTTTTTATTTTCGCTTGTATTTTTCATTCATAATAGTTTGATTAAATAATTCTATATTGAGCATTGGTAATTTTATTTTTTTCAATTATTTTTGAAAAAAAAATAATTCATGAGATAAATTAGTGAACTGAGGTCAACTTTTATCATAATTATAAATTTGTAGAGACCAAACCACAGAACATTTCGTTCCAATTGTCACTGTTTTTACTCTAGTAATTAAACCATTACCAAAATTTACATATATGAACTAATTTAATGATATTTAGTCTTTAATTATCCAAATCCGCAAACGCTAATCGATACATTCAAACAATATCTTTTACCAATAGCATCATTTATGGAACGAACATGTTTCTATTGATGTTAAATAGGGTTTATTACTCCTTTAATAAATTTTTGAAACATCTAGATGTTTAAATCAAATAATTTACAATTAAGTTTTATTAATCAGTAAAGTTATATCTATTAAATACTTTTTAATATTAATCCATAAGAAATTCTACATCTTAAATTGTCATAGAATCTCTTTACAACCTTAGATTATTTCAATTACCATTAGTTCACCTTAGAGAAGGATCTTTGTCGCTTTGAGATCAGTTAATCTCTCATTAGCATTACATCATTTCTATTTTCTCCTAGCATTGTCAAATTTAGGTTAATTCTTCAAAGAATTTTGGATTAGTACAGTTTATAATGTTCTCACTTGTAGGAAATAACTAACTCAGCTGCATTCATCAAGACGTTTTATTTCATTCAATTAAGGATTGAATAAGTTTAGTCAGAATTTCGCGTCATTAGACCCGATATATAATTCAATGAATTCTTCCTAATGAAATGCATGAACAAAAGTTGTGCGAAGTTAATTTAATTTCTTTCATTGACTGTAATGTTCATAAAAACGAAACTTGTTTCAAGAACTTATAGAGCTGAACAAAACAGAGTACGTTTGTTTGTACAAATGTAGGTATATATGTATAACATATATATATATATATATATATATGTTACAAGTCATCTAGACAGAGTGGAAACACTCTCCCAATTATACACTGCACGCGCTAATTGCACGTGCCCAAGTTCTAACCAGTCTAGTACGCTGCCAAAGTTTATTCGCGATGGACGAAGCCAACTAGCACGTGTCTCACATTGTAATATGTCTAGAATAAATTCTACTTACATACTTGTTTTAATTATTTATACAATCATTCATTCAACTCAGTTAAATACCATAGCTTTAATTACCTACTACTTAAAGCAAACATTTTATTTTTGAAGCCACATGAGAACTTGGGGAAAATTCGCTGTATAATTATTTTTTATATTGCTTGGTATAATTCTAATTGGGTAGAAATATTATAAGTACTTGTTTCACAGCCAAATGAATGAAAAAAAATCTGTCTGGGTTTATATGATCCACTTCAAAAACACTACATTTAAAAAATTCAACGTATTTTCAATTTTAATTTATTGTTTATTAATCATAATTATTAAGCAAAAAAAAAGATTTAGAATATATTATTATTTGTCATAGACAAGTTGTAAATACTTAATGTTTCCTATAATACCATTTGATCTCATAAATCACTAGACATTGAAAAAAAAAAAAAAATAAATAACCATAAAATAGATGGTAGCATCGGAGATAGCTTGAACACAAGCTGTGATAGTTGCATGATAAACCTATTTAACAGTCATTAACCTGCTTGCTTCAGTTTATTGATGCATCAAACGTGACCATAGCTTCCTGAAGCTTCAGTCACTTGACCAACAGGTATATAAAACGTAAATGACCTATATAATTTCTAATATATATATATACATGATACAGACAAGCTGTAGCTTTAAGATGCCATTGTCTTTTATTCAAGTCAATACGTAATAGTAAAAAATCTCTATATGAGAATTATCATGAAAGATCTCAAGAACTGTTTTTTTTTCAGTCTTCAACTTTTTCTATTTGTGAAAATGATAATAAGTAAATAAATGGAAGTTTCTTGAACCTCTTCAACAGGTCACGACAGTTAATCTAACTAGAACTGGACTTGACTCTCACTCTTATTTCTCAAAAGAGCAAAGAACTTGAGGGAGAAGTTTGCCAGTTCGGTGTAAAATTACGAGATATTTCGACAGCTGTAAAAGAAGTTAAGAAAAAAATAACTCATGAGAAACGACAAATAACTGGAGTAGTTGGAGAAAGTTATGTAATTTTTTCAGATGGAAAAATAATTAAGGGACTGAAATATAAACAATAAGTTCGAGGAAAATTGATCAATAGTTCATTGGAACGATAGCGAAAGGTAATTTTGTTATACCATTCCATTTAAAAAGTTAAATAGAAAATTTTTTCAGCAGCTGGACAAAGTATTAATGAAATCAACCCATGGAGTGAAAATGTTCTCCATTTTAAAAACTGATTGAAACTCAGGTGTAAATGTACAACTCAATTCATTCTAATTCAATGAAATGATATAATATATAATTGATTGCAGTATAAACAATCATTAAATATCATTGGCTAATTTAAAAAATGGGTAAGGTGTATACCAGCAAATGTCTAAATGATCAAAAATTAATGTAATGGATAATTAATAGAACGAGCATTTAAATTTACATTCTGTTGATTTTGCAGTTAATAATTAGAGTAAAATAATGAGTGAAACAGAAATAAAAAATATGTGTTTTCAATTATTGTTAGGAAGAATAGAATAAATGGTACGTTAAATAACTTTATTGATCAATTAAACGTAATAATAAGCCATACATTGATCTATTGAGTTACTTTTTATAAGTTGGCTTCAGTGACAAATATAGTTATTCGATAAGACTATAAATTATCAAACTGCTTGCTCATTAAATTCATGACAATCAATAAATGTCGCCCGTCATAACATCATAACTTCACTTCACTACTGAAGTCATGTATACAAATCTGTCGATCGCACTGTGAAATTTTAGTAAACGCGAACTTTACATGATTTAAGTTTGATAAGTTTGCAACTATCGCGTGGCTGTCCATCGGCCGACGAATTACTTACTAGATCTAGGCATTGAGCAAAAACGTGATTTGAACTTCTTTACTCGGTATTGTTTAATAGGTAATTAAAAACCACTGCAATCAATAATAATTCTGAAATGGCTTACACAGAAAACAATCAATACATAGTAGTTCTAATTGTTATAACAACAAATAATCTAATCAATGTTAAAAAACAGTTGTTAGATTTATTAAAGAACTTCAATGATAGAATGGGAATGAAAAGACATTTTTATGTATAATTATAATTTTAATTAATTTATTTCAAACTAATATTCATAATTATTATTGTTAGTAGTCAATTTTTTCGCCCGAGTAGTTATCTACTAATATTGTTAATTTGGAAAGTGCGTATGTATTAAACTGATAATCTGCATTTGTCGTAATTACATATATTGAATAAAAACGTAAATAGGTCATAGCTAATTTTTTTCCAATTTTCTGATAACTTTCCAATATATCCAATATGCTCTGTAATATTGGAAAAAGAATAAAGAGACGGTCATCAATAATGAAATTTTGATTATAACAGAATCAAATTATTTTCATCATATGTAAAATGTCAAATTAGCAAATTGAATTAATTTGTTCCATGACAAAATTAAATTTCAAATTTTTCAAACTTGTAAGACAATGAATAGAATAAGTTTTTTTATGACAATTGTGACAAAATCATCTTAAAGAGCTCCTAAACAGTTCTTGAAAGAAGTAAAAAATCCAGAGAAATGGCTCCCCTTTGCTTACAGTACCTTTCTACATTCTCACCACCAATACCTATCCTATACTTTTTCTTTGGTTTCCCATCGTTCGAAAGTACATTAACGGGAGCCCATTAAGGTTTCTTTCCTCGGTAACAAATACTTCCACAACGTGAACATGTCTTGGCATATTGAACGTATCCTAGTTCACCAAGATTATTTCAATTTATGCGAACATTTTTAAAGTTTTAATACGGTTATTAGAGTATTAGTCCAAGTAATAAATATTCACAATACGTTTTTTTATAATTAGTTATTGATTAAAATATGCTTTGAATAATTTTTATTTAATTAAAAACATTAATTCAATTAAAATCTCTCATAGTTTCCAATCAATTATGTTAACAATTTACAAAAAATATTTAATAAAAATGATACTTATATCAAGTACTTATTCAAAGTTTATAACAAAAAATTGAAAGAAAATGCAAATGTTTTCTTAAATTGTTCTTTATATTATAAAAATTGTAAGGCTCCACTAATAAAAACAAATGTTTTCCAGATATGACTCAAAAAATCAGACACTCACTGCACAGATGGAACAGCTCGATGTGAGAATGGCACGTACCAGGTACCTTTTCGAGAAGAATAGTTATGAGCTAAAAACGAGGAACATTTTCTAAAGTGTAAGATTACCCTTTAAAATTCCGATGGTTTAAGAAGCTCTGAAATTTTTTTCTTCAGATTACGGTGATATTGGATCTAAAATAAACCTAAAAAAATCGAAGAATCTTATATAATAACTTTGAAAGTAGCGATTTGAATAACTTAGAGCTTTCAAGTACACAAAAGGTTGATTATTGAGAAAAGCATATCTGTCATCTTTATCTGGCATTAATACAGTCAAAGGGAAAGAGATGGAGGGATGAAAGGAAAACCAAATTTTTTAGAGAAGCTTCTAAAATAATGTCGTGAAAGAAATAAAATGGCTTATACAAGTCGTATAACATCATGTAACACGTGCTAGCAACGTTGAATGACTACATAAGAACCCGCAGATTCGCTTTCTGAGCTCCACACTTGTATTTCTGCAACTACTTCATGAAATCTCTCTACATACATGAAGCTAAGAAATTGCATACAACATTCTTGAGTGGCACTTAAGCATTCCACTTGCTTACATAATAATATGGCCAAACAATAGATTTTATTTATTTTTATTTCCTGCACTTATGTGTTTTATGATACGTGGTGCAATTTGAACAAAGTGGATAATTTAATTTTTGGCCAAAAGTATAAAGTATTCATCAGTTTACAAATTTTATATACAAAACATTTAGAGAAAGCTTTGAATAAGAATTGTATCCAACTTTTGAATGATTCTCAGCTCATTGCTTTGTAATTGTATTTTCAGAAGTTATATTGTAAGAGTTCAAAGTTGAAAGCAACGGTCAATAACTTGATTAAGGAAAGTTGAACAACATTTGCTAGGAAAAAGCATTTTGTAGTGAGAGAGTAAGCTTTTAAATGCTTCACTTAGATTTTTTTCCAAAATTTTTTTCACGCTATAGACGTTCTCAAAGCTTTGATTAAAAAATTAAAGGTTTATTTCTTCTTTGCTCTTTTTTTTAACTTTTTGCTGAATGATAAGTGAGAAAAAATTTTGAATTGGAGATTTATATTCAAACAAAGATTACAGGAAATGATCACAATGAATTCCTAATTTAAATAACATTAACATCATTATTATTATTTATTAAAAATCTGAATAATTTTTAATTAAAAAGAGAAACAAACAAAGTAACTTTGCTTATTGTTGATAAAAAATTTTTTATGAATCAGTTTTAGTGAATTGTTTTTTATCTAGATATTTTTTTTTATTGATGTAAATAAATGTGCATAGAAAATAAAAGAATATTTAGCTTTGTGATAAAATATTTCAAAAGTATATTTCATTTAAGCTGGATTCAAATTGTGACGTGTTTCATATCAAAATTGATTTATAAAAATCTATAAAGTCGGTAAAAAATAAAAAAAATGCATCATAATGTTAGAAATATGCAAATAAAATCTGCTCGTAGTAAAATAAATGCGGTCGTTTTCCCAGATACCTTATTCAAGGCTCAGTAATATGGTGAAATTTATTGTCGAACTGAAGCAGTCAAGTCCACTGAGCATTCCCTCTGTGGCCGATTTCATTGGGAATCGAATGCATATTCTATTGTTACATTTGTAGGCGGTTGATAGTTTACGTATACTTGTAATCATATAAATGCAAGAGGTACAATTGGTACAAGATATAATACATAAACATTTCTTTGTATTAATATAATAGTAAATTTATTATATCGTACACCGTATTTAGTCAGTATAAACATTGCAATTAATTATATTCATTTATAAAGATACTTAGAATGATTTCATAAATTTTAACTGTCAAGTTTATTTATATATTTCGAAACAATTACTTTTATTAGTAGTTATTTTTTATTTAAAAAAATTAAGATCAATAATAACATTATGTTTGATCCAGGAATATTGTTTTTTTGGTCTCCTAACTAATGACTCCGTCTTACTTTCTTTTCCAGGTCTGAATTTACTCTTCTATGAGTGCCATATCACGCAAGGTGTCTTAAAGATTGAGTGGACCATTATCAAAATTCAAGATTAAGGCCAGATTTAAATTTTTATCTGAGAAATCAATTGCAATCACTAAATCATAAGGATATCTCTAAGAGTAGTTTTGGGCATATATGAAGTAGATGAATATTTTGATTCTAACGCTGAAATCAACAATTCATCTTTATTTTTGACTCAAGCTCCATTTTTCCCTGTTCATTATCATTTTCTTGAACAATTGCAACTTCTAGTACACTTAGATTTAGATCCTAATTGATCTATTATATTTTGATATAATTCAATCGTATAATTATTCCTCATAACAGATTATCTTTTTACTTAGTTACCAAGTCATATCACAGATTAAAAAAGTTGATAAATCATTGAAATAACAACTTTCACAGCATAAAGTTTAGTGTCATTGTGACTCTAATGGGTTAATACTGTCCCCAGTCGCACGGGAATTTACTCCAATTGCGTTTGCTTAATTTCTCAAGGGAATGCACGTGAGCGCGTGAAATTTTTTTTCCATTCCATCCCTCTGGCAAGTGAATCCTATTGATGATGAAATAAACATTACTTTCTTTGAAAATATCCAATGAGAATGAATTTTTCAATGATTAATTTTTTTCTCTTTTCTCTTTCACAATCTAACATCAGTCTGAGTAACAATGAAATATGGTCATATTTGGCCTTGATCATGTTCTCCTATAGTTTACCATAATGCTATTGAAATAAAAATCTTTTTAAAAACTATCAATTTTACAAAATAGAAATTTATTGTTACACAGATGTTCAACAAATATAAAAGAATTTTAATTAAACCTAATAATTTAATCAGCTATAATTGCACATTTTTTTAACTCCTTAATAATACTGATCATTAAGACGAAAAATCTTGCCACAGCAATAAAAAAAAACAGCTTGAAAGTATTGTATAGTAGTCTGATATAATGATTCAACCATCTGCTGTAGCATATTACATCTCACTGAATTTTTTATAACTTCCAAGAGATAAATGTCTTCAAATATTATTAATTACCTATTAACTGCAGAAAATATTAGTACGTACAGATAAAATGAAAATGATTTGGAAACATAAAATATTATTACAGACAACTATAAAAAGTAGATGAATTTATTGTAAAAAAAAAAAAATAACATTTATTGCAGCTGCATCACATTTTTGTTGCAATTAATTCTACGAGATATTTATATTATGCATGAGTCATGTAATAAAAAAGACCGAATAACTTATAACGAAAGTGTTATTTAAAAATTGAGCAGGGATGAAATTATTCAACTAAAACAACTAACCGCAGTAGTTTAATTTAGTTACATAAGCACAAGCACGAGATTGTTGAAGTATAACACCGATTTAAAGTTATAATTATACATTGAGAGAAAAACAAATTTATTGAAAGAGCCATTCTCTGTGTTAGTTTTCTTTACAGCTAAAAAAAGTCATTTTTAAATTTAATGGTTCAGATGACTAAGTTATTGATCATTTTAAAATACATTCTATGAAATTAAACAAATTTCGAGATAGCAATTGTTGAATAAAGGAAAGAATTCTTAAAATAAAGAGTCTTAATGTTATTGAAATTTATTGAGTAATTTGATTTCTATTAGTTTGATAAAAATATCCTTCAAAAGATCAATAATCACCAATAGCTTGCAGAGGATAACTAGTGCATTCGGTGCTCATGTGTATAATTGAAACTAATTAGAAGCAATTGTTAGAAGGAATCCAAGATATTGATTGGTTTCTCCAGAAGTAGGAACTCCTTTGCATAATGACACATAATTATGAGTTTAATTACAATGATTGGTTAACCAGATCACCAGAATAATTCATCTAATATTTTCCATCACTGCTTGAACTTCAATAAATGTTTTTTCAAAAACTTGCAATTTTTTCTGATAAATTACTTTTAATTAAGTAACTGTCAAAATTGAAGATATTATCAGATTTAATTTGTTTTATTTTATAAGTTGAATGAATTTATTGAGTCACCAATTGCTAGATAATTAAAATTGATTTAATAAAAAGAGAGAAATTTGTAAGTTATATTTAATACATAGCTTTGAAGCGACAAACTATCCTTGGTGGATTGCGGATGACCAAATAGCGATCCAATTTAACTTTTGGTGTGCTCAGATGTCTGGTGGTTGTGAAGCCAAGGTAAAAGTCGAGAAATCTTGTTGTCTTTTAGTGTGATTTATGTGGCATCGATTGTCGATTTTCTATGATTTACCAACTCCCATGAGAATTTGATTCATGCAGGTGACAGATAGATATTAAATCAAATAACCAGTTCTAAAATAGGTGAGTCACTTTTTTATATTCTAACATTCATCAAATTTACAAATAAATCTTTCTAAGTTCTATCATTTAATTAATGATTATTTTTAGGCTTCAAATTAAAAGAATGCAATATAGTGGTCCTATTTTATTCCATGTACCTCCTTTTAAACTACTATTTAAAGTTTATAACGTTATAAACTAAAGGTGGATCAGGGAGATGTTTACCATAAAAGACTGGCAAGTATCTTGGAGTATGTTGCTCGTAAAGCTCCATTGGTCTACGATACGGTGCATTCCACTTTTATGGGGAGTAAGTATCACTCGTTCCCAAGACAGTATTCTATATATTATTCCCAGAATTCATACCTTTATCTAGAGTGTCCCAGAGAAACTTTAAATTACTATTCAATGTGAAAGTGATAATTATTTTATAAAGTTATCAAAAATTATAAATAAGATTCATCATAAAGATTTATTGATTTTTGTTGGAAACATTTTTTTAATACATACCATGTACTTTGTACGTGATATCAAATAAATGAACAAAACGAAGAAATAAAATTTCTAGAGTCGTGAACATTCCTTTCTCCTGTTTGCTATAAAGTGTAATGTTCAACATGACCACAGTAAAGCTACAGATGATCTGTTGTAAATTTAATTTCTACATTTTCTTGATTTATTTGTAAATGGACTTTTTATGCTGGAAAAAGCAACCTAGACAAGAATTTTATTAATCACTGAAACTAATAAAAAAAACATGAAAGATAAACAAAAAAGGTGACATTTTATTTATCTTGAAGCTCATTGAATTGGTTGTACTACTTTTAAATTAATTTTTTTAATCTATTGAAAAATCTGTTATTCGTAATACATAAAAAATCTTCAGAATATCATACTAATAGCTTTGAATGAAATTCTAAGATACCCATGAATGTAGTTCGATAAATATCCGTAATCAAGATGTGTCAGCCTTTGATTCAAGATTCCAAAAAAAAAAATTGAATGGCGCCGGACTTCTTCAACTGAAGTCTTTTATCACCGAAATGAACTTGGTATAAGAAATCCCATTGGGGAAATGTTTGCTAAAACTCTTAGAATACGGGTTTCAAAGACGACTCAAGCAAAAAACAACTTATTGTTAAGAGAATTATATAGGATTAAAATGTTCAAATAATCCATAGCATACTACAAAATAATCAAAGTAGAGTTTTCTTTCAATTAAATCAACATTAGAGTTCACAAAAAAATTAGCCACTTTCATAATCAGCTTTTGTGATGTACGAGAGCTTGTTTTGATCAAAGTCCGATCATGCAGGAAAAATATCTATTATTCGAAGCGAAAGAGAATTTTTTAAAGCCGTCCTATGATGACAAAGTGATAAAATGCAAAGTTAAATTTCTGAAAAACAACAGTATAAAGATGTAGAATGAATCCCTCAGATATTTTACTATAATAACCATATTCAAAGCTCTACTATTTTATTATTCCAATCTTGCTACTGATTTACCATTAAAAAATACGAATAATTAAACTCGAAAGATGTATTTCTAATTTTTAAATTCCCTCATGACATTTTTTTAAAAAAATTCTATGCTAATGCATATGTGGCTTTCATTAAATTTTCCATCAACTCTTCATGAAACATCTGACATCTATTTTCTTGATCATGAAAAAATTTCACGTGATATTTGAGATGTAGATGTAGATATAAATACACAAAGGTCTTCAATTCAAAGAAGTGTACGCATAATTATACATGCCATCAATTTTGCAAATTTTTCAAATCCTACACACTTTCACCCTGAATAACATCAAAGTTCACAAATACCAACTTTTTCGTTGAGTGTTTTCCCCCAAGGTATTTCGAGAACGTCAGCGATGCTGTACAAAGTAAATTCACCGTGTTATGTAAAGGTATCAAGGGACTTGGCAACAGACTTATCGCAGTCAAGATGGAATATGCAGCAATTCATGAATTCAAAAGTACTAGTATACTGACACTGCTGGAATCAAAACCTTCTTATGCTGTCTTGATGCTTTTTTCACTGCATTCAATATCTTTGTCAGCATTGAGATGATAGAAAATAATACCTATTATATACAAATTATTCTGACTTATTCTTATCAAGAATGAAACTAAGTATGAATAAAACACTTAATTGATGATAATATTTTTTATTGATGAATACGACTTTTAAATGAACAATAGAATAATAAAAACTTAACTAACATCTGCTATTTTATTTTTTCAGTAAAAGACAACTAATTTCCGTCCAGGAGGGTCTAGGCATTCAGAAGCTAGGAATAACTGAAGGACTACGAAAGTATTCTGAGAAATTCATAAAGATTAAGTTGCAAAGCGGGTAAAATAAAGGTAAGGAGAACTATGTCAAGAAGCGAAGTGTCTTAACAAAGTCTCTCTGCAGTCGGGTAAAGTTTACACTTAAAGAATGAGAGACGATCAATCTAAAGCTAATGAAAAAGGTGGTCAGTGCTAAACGTCGACGCTGAAGAAATTGCCATTTTGCTGGTGATAGCATGTAGAATGACAACAAAGAAAAGACTACTCATGACTTATACATCACGAATGTCCAATATAGGCACGCTATAAAGGAGCGGCCGTCTCATGAGAATAAGAAAAAAAGATATAACTGATGGTCAGGATAAAAGTGGAAAATGTGAGAGATATAATTTAGCACGAAATTCTTAGAAATTGTTATCTAGAAATTTTTTTCCTCGACTCACAAGGAATTTTATTAATTTATTGATCAATAACGAGTTCATTATGGTAATTTAACATTAAAAAAAAAATTGATGGGAAACTCTAATTGAGTACTATTCCAGATGTTCAATCTAGTTATTTTTTTTAAATATTTAACTTCACTATAAATTTAATAGAATAAAAAATCACTTTACACAAATATTTTAACCAAATAGCTGTTTATCCATAATGATTTCGTTGATTTATACAATTTTATTTAAATTTAAATACTGATGATTATAGGATAAACTTTGGATAAAAAATATTTAATGATTTTTTCAACTTTTTGTTTAGCTAAATGATGTGTAAAGTAACCACACGGTCAAAAAATTCAAGAGAAGATTTTTCAACTATTTTTTTGTCTTTAACAGATAGTGTAAAAAAAGTAAGATAGCTTCTATGCTTCGACAGCTGACATGAGATATACTACCGTCTATTCGTCCGTGAAGCTGAAATGTGTTCGTTGAAACAGCGTCACGCAATACAGCCGTTCAATTAATTGCTTTTCGTGTTAGGAAATATGTGTGAAAGAAAGGGCTTTCTGTCACGTTTTAAATAAGTAGTATGTAAGCATATCCCACCCACTATAAATGATATTCAAATGAAATGAGAAGAGAGAGATCAAACTCATCAAACAGACATTATCTCAATTAGATATGACATTAAAAATTTCTAGGATATCATTAATTTCACAGTGTGACAAAACTTGCAAAGTTTTTAATTACTATTCTAATTGAATAGTAAAAGTATTTCTGTTAACATCAAATTTAAACATTATTTTTTATTGTTATTCTTATTATTATTAATGCAAATTAAAAAAATAATAATTTGTAGAAATAGTATCTTTATGAGAATAATTAATTTTTTATTCAAATAATTAATGGAACAAACTTTTGTATAATTTACATAACTTTGAGCCATCTTCTTTCATTGTCTGTTCGTAGACTTGAATGAAGGACGCCACGCTTGGTGGTTACACCAATTCATCCTTTCCTCTCCTAATGGACCACGAAATTATACGACAACCCACAATGGTCAACCAAGTATTCTATCCACAAGTCTTGGTGGCATAACTATGTCGATCAGTATTTCATATTAAATAACTGTTATCTAAAAATCCCTCTGAAGTATCTGCTGAAAAACAATCATAAAATAATTGAGTTTTGCTTGAACAAAAATTCAACATTGAAAGAAATAAAAAATGAATCAAATCTCTATTTAAATTTCCATCACAACAAATACGAAAATGACATAATTTTATGCTTGTACGATTACGGAATATTGAGTTATTTCACTGAGTGAGTTTCTAAAAAAAAACTTAATAGTGGATGTTATGACGCTGCTTTAATAAAAAGTTTTTTTTTGACAATTCATGTAAAGTCTAGAAAAAATATGTAATTAGAGATTACAAATTTTATGTATACAGTTTAGATGTAAATATGACCTAATTTAACGAGATGAGCTTTCTCTTCAAATAGTTTTTACGCTTGATATTTTTATCAATTGAATAATACTCGCTCTCTACACTCTTTTATAATAAAAGGAATATGCAAATATGCAATTTAAGATATTTTATTCTTTATATTTAAATATATTTTATAGTCGCATAAATAGGTAAGTTTGAAAGAAGCAGCTAATTCAGAAGTTTTTATAATTTTTTTTATAGCTTCTTTCTATTCTTTTTTTCTCTTGTTCAACTTGGCAAGTTTTAGAAGTGGGACGAAAATTCTCTGCACTATATAGATGGCAAAAGGTTGAAACGTCGAGACTTTGTAGTCTGTTTCTTCATTGGAAAAATCTCATCGTTTTGCTTCAGTAATTCTGAAAAAGTCCAAGAATAGACTACGCTATAAAATTAATCAGTTCCATTATTTTTACATCATATTAAGAATTACGATGAACATTTGATACTAATATTAACTTGGAATCGTAAGGAAGATGGAGAGCAAAAAGTAGAAAGATATCAGTTTGATCAATAGTTAATAACAATAAAATTGCTGCTTCTACTTCTGATCTTGTAAAAAATTTCACTGTAAAAATTTCCTTTAGATTTGAAATCAATGTATTTCTTTACTTCAAAGGAGAGTGGGTATCTGTCCCTATTCTACTTTCTTGCTTCTTCTTCTGTTTGTTGAATCATTTTTCAATTAGATTTCAAATTCGATTGCGCTTTATTGATAATTCTTTTACAGAGAAAAAGATTTCTGTTTTTTATGAATTATTTTATAATTAAAAATTATGTAACCTAAATAAACAAAGAAGTTTATTATAGTAATATTTAGTTTGAGCAAATTAATTCATCATTTCTGTTTACAATTCTGTAATCAGTTGAATAATTATTTGAAACTGATGAATATTCCTATAATATTACATTAATAACATATTTGTTGTAAATCTAATATTTAAATTTTTTATCACTTACATATTTCCATACTTTTTCTATTGCAAATATTAGAAAATTTATTAAATGCTCAGCAAACAAGTCCTTATTATTTTCGTATCAGCTTACCTTGCTTTATTGAAAAAGCATACATATGCTAAAGTAAGTCATAAAACTTTTACAAGTTCTACAGAGTGTTCAACACCGAATAATCGGAAATTTTCAACGTTGAATAGTTTGTTGCTCACAGCTTATTTATACCTAATAGGAGTCGTTACTTTAGCTTGAATTATTCTTAATTTAAAGGAAAATATTTTCATCTGAAATACTTTATAAACTCTATATCAACTTAATTATTAATTTATCTAATAAAGCAATTTATTTCAAACAAACAATATAAATAATTATTTTTATCTCAGTAAATATTAATTTATACTTAATCACCATTTGTTTATATTAAATAAACTCGGCAAAGTTCTTTTAATATCAATATATGTAAATTGGAATGTATAATTATGATTATCATCTGATTTAAGAAGTTAATTTAGAAGCATCATCTCATTTCGACAATTTATACACATGATTTAAAAATTAATTAATGCACATTAATATTTGTCGGTAATAAGCAATCAATCATTCAATTAATTCTTGACAAGACTATAAGCTTCGAAATCATCAATATTTAGATGTAAAGGTTTCATTGTGATAATACTCATCAATACTTTTCCAATATCAATTTTCTTTAACAGTGGATAATCAATACGTAAATAATCTAAAACATTTTTGTCAGTTAAATCTCTTACTGGTATATCGATAAATGACAACCAAAATGGAGCTGGAGAGTCAAAGTAATCCCCAAAATAATTAAATGTTGTTACTAAAGCAGTTTCATTCCAAGTGCTTACTTTTTCATTATCATCACGATAAATACCAGAAATAATCCCAGAGGGAAAATTACTTACAATGAATTGACCATTGTTATCTGTAATTCTATTGACAATCAAATTGCGTTTTAACACTGAAATAACAAACAAATGGTCATGCCAGATGACAAAATGATTTTTCTCTTTATCATAGAAATATTTCCCGACGAATAAATTATTCCATGAAAACTGATCTTCTGGAAAATTTTTCGATAATATTTTTTTCGATATGAGATTTTTATAATCAATTTGATATCTTTCAACTGATGCTGAAGAAATAACTTCATTAGTTTCTTTATTTTCAAATTCAGTCAAACTTCGACGAAAAACATCAAGAATATTTCTCGTGCTATCCAATATTAATAATTTTTTATGATATTTTATGCACAAACCATAATAAACACCATCAATTTCATCGTAAACGTAATCTAAAATTTTAATTCTCTCATCAATTGGTTTGGGTTCCACTTCAATTGGAGATATAAATGAGAAAAAGTTTTTGCTGTTATCATTCCATATAGTTCCTTCATTTAATTCTCCAGTACAATAAACTTTACCATTAAAAATAGCATATACTTTTTCAACATCGCTGAATCCTAAATCTTTAGGGTTTAACATCATTACATCATCTCTCAGTCTAAAAGGCAAACTTCTCATTCCATGTGAAGTAGATTTGTAAATTACAGCGTCATCTTTAATCATTTTCTTATCTATCAAAAATTGTTTAATGTTGTCTGATTTGAATAGTTCACACTTTTCTGTATCTTGGTCATAATAAAACTTGGTTGGTACTAGAATTTCGTGATCTTCAAAGTATTCTTTTAGACTTCTACCAAGTTCAGGTGGTCGATTAATCTCCGTTCGAGGGAAAGCAATGTTGGAAATCGTTGAAACTGGTTGAAGTTCTTTAAACATTTCATCACAACTTATTTTCTTTGGCGAATTTCCATCAAAACATGATTCTATGCCATAGGAATAATTGAAGATAGGATCATTGTAGATAAGTATTTTATTAGGTCCTAGGCATTTCTCATTTCTGCATTCTATAGATTTATTAGGCATGTAGAATATGCCTTTTCCATCACATGAAACCATGTATTCAACGTGGGCTCGACAATAACCATAAGAGTCATTATTAATACGGAAATAAAAATCATGATTAGTATCACAGTGGTTCAATGGTATACATATAAGACCTGCAGCATGTTCTAAGTTAGGATTAACTTTATGATTCAGTCCACATTTTCTTTTCTCACTCTTGCCATCTTTACAGATGTAATATTCATCTTGTTCTAATGGCTCATCTGACTCAGATGTTAAGAACCGATGTACACTATTATCTTCACGGTTTTCACATACATCAAATCTCTTGCATATTGCATTCACATTTGCTTCTCCATTTTCTAGAGGAAGAATGGGAGATAATTTACTCTCATCATATGGTTCTTGGGATATCTTGACAAAGGTATTTTCAGAACATGATTTAATGATTGGCTTCTTCTCAGCTTTTGAACATTCGATGTACAGTCTTTGGTGTATCAGGTTACTTGTTAATGGGGTATGTATGGTGATAGCAGGATTTGCAATTTCACTGTAGCGAGTATTTAATAAAGGTATTACACTATTATTGTACTCTGAACAAAGAGGGTCTGCAATACATTTCCCTTGTTCTGAACTCCAAGACCACCTAGGTGGACAGTTAAATTCAGCTTCAAGACCAGCTACTTTAAAACCAGTCTTAGTCACAGTTATATCTGCTTCTCCCCTTCTTTTTGGATAACCATTCAAAGCCATCAACATCCACAGGAAGATCTTCAATTGAACGTCTATAACTACCATCACTATAATCTAACCTGTATATGACATACTTGCCATCAGGTTGTCTATCATATGTAAATGCTTCTGGAGGCTTCCTACGATCTTCATATAAAAGTTGGCACAGTTTCTGAGGTGTAATATCAGATGAATTTATAAATCTTCTTAATGGATGATGATTGTAAACATAAACGAATGAAACGAGTAAGAAACATACAATAACTATGGTAATAAAAAATGTTTTAGACACATGATCTTCCATTATGACAATATCTAATTAATCTTTAATTAAGTGTGGTATTTTTTTTCAATTGTCATGTAACTAATAATATCTGAAACTTAGGAAAAACATTCGATTATATTTTGGAGTAATTGAGGACATATAATTCAATAATTATATCTACCATTAACATTACAAATGATGATTAATAAGATAAAATTCAAATTACCTCGATTATACATGTAATAATTCAATTCTCGAAAGGGAATTATGACAAATATCGAATTATTGATGATAAATAAGTAGTGCCGTTAGTGAATAATTATTCAGGAAATGATATAACAGCAAAGATATTTATGTGACATTATTATTAATCGATTAATAAATAGATTTTATTTTTAATTGATGTGAAAATCTACTGACATTGATAGTTATCATACAATTTAAAAAAAAATTAATGCATGCTAATAACCAAAGAATCATTTTCAAAAACAAAAAAAAAATTAATCGATCATGTATTGGTAAATAAGATATTTTTTATATCAACAATTAAAGTTACAAAACAATAGCTTTAATAGATAAAAGAGGTTTCTTGTTTATCGATAATAATGTAGAGAAGTCTCTACATTATCATTTAGTATTATGAAAGAATAACATAACAACTTGGAATATCCCAAAATAATTTATAAAATTGATTATTCAATATAATATATAAGAATAATGGGAACATTTTAAAAAAATGTACATTATAGAGTATAGTTCAATGAAATTTATTCGTTTGTTGAAATTTTAAGAATTATTCATGCTGTTCCTACTTCGACGAAAAATGCATAATAGGGATTATTGGAAGGTTTGTTAACCTGTTATCTTTGCTTTTCATTTACCCATAGATTGAATAATTTCAAGAAAAAATATTTTTCTCACAAAATTGAACTCCGAATAAAATTAATCATTTTTATTTAATAATTTTATTATTTACAAATTCAATTACAATAACTGATTTAATATTAAAGAACTGTATTTTGTGGTTATTTAATACATGAGTGTCAATATGTGTTTCTAAGGTGAAATGTGACATTCATTGAAGTTCACTGACAGTGTTTAGATATAATATATTTCCTGCGTTTAATTAGTTCAATAAACTGTGTTGACTTCAATTAAAAACAGATTTTTCTTTGATTTTACAATTACAAGCAGAGAATTTTGATATTAGTTTTAAATAAACTAATAAACTTGATCGAGCTTGTAGTTAGATTTAACCTCCACTAAGTGCTTCAATTTGCTTTATTTTCTATTGCCACTCTCGTAATTACCTTAATTTCAAGTAAGTTAATTAAAATAAATGATGGGAAGTTGTCTTTGAGCTAATTTAAATTTTATTCATTACTTATAAATGTTATAAAATGCAATTAAGGTTGTAAAAAAGACGCCGAATTTTTTCAAGGTGGGGATAGTAATTATGAAGTAGTGGGGGAAGAACTTTCCTCCAGTTCTTCAAAGATATATGTTACTTTACTTAGGAAAAAAATATAAGTCCTACTTAATACTTCGTACTTAATAACGGTAAAACTTCCTGGGAAAACCCCTATGCAAATGGTGCAGAAATTAAAAAACTATTCAATATAATTCATTGATGTTTTTTAATCCTTTTTATTTAATATACTCAGTAATCTATTATTTTTTCTTCTATAGAATGGGAAGCAGTGGACAATTATACAGTCTATCATGGGGAGAATTTGGTACATCATTAGCCTCAGCAGTACAGCTTTTAAGGGGGCATGGAGACCTAGTGGACGTAACATTGGCAGCTGGAGGCCGTAGCTTTCCTGCTCATAAGATTGTCTTGTCAGCTGCGAGTCCATTTTTGTTAGATTTACTCAAGGTATTTTTATTATGAATCACTAATCAGTTCAAAATAGTCATTTTAGAATACTCAACGATGATATTTCTTTTAGAGTACACCATGTCAACATCCAGTTGTTATGCTTGCTGGGATAAGCTCTGATGATTTAGAATCTCTTCTAGAGTTTGTTTATAGAGGGGAAGTAAGTGTAGAACCTTCACAATTACCCTCTTTGCTCCAAGCAGCTCATTGTTTGAGTATTCATGGCTTGACACCACCAACAATTTTAACTGAGGTAAGTAAATCATACTAATATCATCACTTAGGCTTATTTCATAAAATTATCACGTTTTTTAGAATGGCGAAGAAGTACCCGTGTCTGCAATTCCAACTAATACTGAGCCAGTGACTCGAGAAATAATGAATTCTTGCATTCCCATCCATCGACGTAAAAAAAGAAGAAAATCATCTTCTTCTTGTAGTAAATGGCCAAAAATGGATAATACCACAGACAGTGAGGATCGACACGATGGGCATGGTGAGGATGATCGAACTACAGACTACGATCAAAAGAATGATGATGGTGGTCATGATGATGGTAAGAAATGTTCGTATTTACATTTATTAATCGATTCTTAAGATTCAATTTAAAATTTACTATTTACTAAACGGCTGCTCCGATTTTTTTTCGAAGCATTCACAATATCAATTTTCGATACAATTATTGATTTATTATTTGAAAGTACAATTTTACTGTAAATAAATAAAATATTAGTCATTATTACTTTAAACAGAATAATACTAATATTTTTTTTATTTTAAATCTTCAATTTTGTGTTTTGTGTCCGCATTGACTACTGTCCTTGCCATCGAGAATTCAACTCGTCGGCAAATTTTGTGACGTGAAACGGACACAAGCACAACCATCAATTTGGGTTGAACTGCAGCTTGTTATCCTGAAAAATTTAAATATTCTAACGAATCTCCACATGGTCACTAATTTACCAATAGATATTTAAAACAAAAATCAGTTCAGCCCCGTATGGTAATATTGTGTTTGTGTCTGTTGACAGCAGGTGAGCAGTCGGAACACTCTAATCATCGAGGACCAAATGATTGGCCAAACTCCATGCCTCAACCAGCATCATCACTAGTCATTACAGAAGTTCCATCGCTAACGCAGGATCACTTGACAGAAACGAAGCCTTCTTTGCACACATTAATGGCTATGCAACAACAATATTCACCATTACACATTCCTTCATTTCCTGGATCTCTTAACATAGGATTACCACCTGGATATCCTCTGATTCAAGCACCAACATCGACTTCCTCAACATTAAAAGTTCGCGGAGCGTCTGATTGTCCTGGAATTTGTCCATTATGTGGAGCAACTCTAAGACAAGCTAGAAATCTTCGTAGGCATCTTCTTTCTTCCTGCAAATATCGACTGAACAGCTTTCATACTCCGCAACAGCCACCTGATCAAATGATTGTTGAAATAAAACCGGAAATTGAAATAGGTGCATTCAGTGGACAAAATCACGGAACTGATAGTAAAGATAACAGCAATACAGAGCAGATAGTTTGTCATCCAAGTCCGCTTCCATCACCAACGCACAGTTCTAATGTTGTTAATTCCCATCAAAGCATCTCTGAAACTATCGCCAGATGAGATAATTAAAGTAAAATATCTATAAAAAAATTCAATCATCAAGATAACGATCTCTTGCAATTTGTTAACTGCAAATTAATTTTAAATATGTTTTCTAAGTACTTAGACAAGTAGCTAAAGATATCAATTATCAATGCGCATGAAGAATTATCAAAGTAACCTGTATTAAATCATTTTTTTACATTTATATATGCTATTTTCTTTAGATATTTATCATATATATTCAACTTAATCTAATATTCTAGGAAGAATAATTAGTTTTCTTATCTCATTTGCGTTATTTAAGCTAATAGTATTTTTTCTGTGAATTCAGTCGCCAAACAAATTAATGAAAATGATATATCTTTTTCGAAAGATATTTCGTATATGCCTTATTATTATTACATTTATGAGTACTACTTTATATCATTATTATTATTTAATGTCATAAGAATTTTATTATAAGTAAAATAATTGTAGTATTCATTCCTTCGCATCTGTAAATAAACTGCGTGTATCAATAATCAATCAGTGTTTTATTGAATTTTAGTTTATGTAAAGCATCCAATTCCTTTGATGTCAAATTTATGATTTAAACCATCACTCTTACAAACTTTAATCGAATTTTAGATGGTCATTATAAAGGTAAAAGCTCATCGGATCTGCCTACGACTTGTCCTTTGTGTGGAGTAACCTTACGACAATCCAGAAACCTTCGCCGACATCTAGAATTGCTCCATTTCGGTTCGGGAAACAATGGTAAAGCATCAGTTCGAGTTCGTCGTCGTAAACATGATTTTCATCCACCAACTATGGTACCTCGAGCTGATAGTTTACGAATATCAGAAAGCTCCGACTTTTCTACTACATCTCTATCCTTTACTTCAACGAACTCTGGTCTGTCGAATCCATCTGGTAAAAACAAATTATTAATTCTGCTTTTTTATCTTAATAGCATTCTATTCACTTTTTCTAAAATATTTAAAAAATATTCCATGAGTTTCTGACGGTTTAATTGGTTCTCGCATAGCATATCGATTCATACTCATTAATAATTTAATCTCCTCTTCTAGCACCAATTAATTGGAACAAGTATTCAGATTGAACCGGAACACTATTAATAATAACAGATCATGCAAATTTCGATTTTAACTCGAATGCCTTTAATACTATCGAGATGGTTCAAGTCTTTATGGAATCTGTATGAATTAGGTATCAAATTTATCAATGATTGAAAGCTTAATTAAGATCAGATTTATCACGACTGCAAATAATGTTAATCTATTAAAATAGTCTTTTAATTTATTCACTAAGTTAATTACGTATATTTGATCATATTATTGTTTACTGTAGAAGAAATTTCTTTTAATTTAAACAATTGAAAAGTGAAGTGATGACAAAACTTTGAATGTTGACGAAAAAACCCGAAGTCACACGAAAACATCCGATAATAGAGAAGAGCTCTTCGCGTCTGCTGCTATCCTAATACGAAAGAAAGACAAATGCTAAATTTCTGTATTCATATGTAAATGAGGTTCATGAACCTAACCGGAATTTAAATACACGTTATTCTACACTTTTAAAATGCCTTTTACAGATGATTCTAATTTATAGCAAACTTTTTATTCATTTTTTACTTCAAGAGTAATTTTTCATTGGATTTTTATATATTTTCTCGTTTAGGAAACTTATCTTCTTCTGGGTCAAACACTTTACTGTCTAGTGAACAAAACAGTTTCTCAAATGCTGGAATACAGCCAGGATCTTGCAGTACCGGAAATATGCCAGGACCTTTAACCAACGGAATTTATCCATCAGAGTCTAGCGCAAATATATTAAGTTGTCTATTGCCAAACATTTCATCATTATCTCTACCTCATGATGTCTTCCGGCATGGAGAAATGCTGAAGGCTAGCATTGCTTATCATGATTCGTCAAGACAACATGTTAGACATATGCAACGAACTGACGTTACCTAAGTATTTATATGAGTACTTTCCCTTTCATTTAATGGTTCGCTTGATAACATTTATTACTTATAATATAGATATTAATAAATAAAGAAAGTAAAGAAAGAAGAAAAAGAAGCTGATAAAATAATATTAACTTACACTTTTCATAGTGTATTTGGTTTTCAGAACATTATCAAATTGAAGTTTATAAGTCTGGATGCCTATAATAGATAATTAATGAGATACTCATTTCATGTTGTTCTTAACTTAAATAAGGAAAAGATAATTAACTCTTGTGATATGAAATTCAAATAACGAATGCAGTTAACTATAATGTAGATTACGAAGTAAATATTTTACTTAGCTGTTTATCGATATTCTTGCAAAAAAAATAATAAAATAATACATATTAAAAGAGGGTACTTTTTTTAAGAAATCCTATTAACAATAATTAGATCGTAGTTGTGTTTATTTGCTTGTGTTTAAAAGGTAAGATTAGCCACGTATTTAAACGTTTAGCGTCTTACTTTATTACATTGATAATGAAAGACAAACGCAGTAAGATAATAGAAACAAACGAACAAATGATACAAAAAGATGATAATGCTTTCAGTATCGTACTATTACACACTATACGTCATTTATCATAAACATTACAATTGTCAATTCTTCACTTGTGATATCATATTTAAGTCAGGCGGAAATTGACGAAATATCTCTCGCAATTATACACAGACATTAGATAAGCTCAGATAGAGCTCAACAACTTATTACGTTTATTATAAATCACAAAATTATTTTTTTTTACTTGTTAACATTTGTTTTACAACACGAAACATTCGCACTACACCACCGTATGATGAGGACATTTGATTTCATATAGTTAATCCTGAAACATTTTTCTTTCTTTTATTTATGTACAACCTATTTGACAATTGGAAAGAAATACATAGGATTGATTACACCATCAAAAATTTTGAGGCCAATGTTATGTAATTATTTTTTTTATTAAAAATCAGTAAGACAAGTCACTTATATCATTTATTATGGAGTAATGACTATGAATTAGGTTGCATTTACTCCCCCTTTTGACAACAGGCAGCATTTAGGATTTTATTATGTCTATAATTTACATGTAAAATCATATTCTTACTAATATCATAGTTAGAATATATCATTATTCTAATTGGTAACGCTAGACTGCGTATTGATTGTCCTACCAAGCTCTATCGTCGCTAAAGATCAATACGACTCTTTTCAATAAGGACTCCAGGGACTGGTGATTCAAATTTCCGATTAATTGATACACAGCTTTACATAAAGTCATTTTTAATTTTAAAGGGGGAGTATTGTGTTTTTTTTTTTCCTTATTAAGTATACAATTATCTATCTAATTAAACTAACACTAATGAAATTATGTTTATTAACTTACACTCGTACTTGTTTTTAATGTACTTTCTTATTTTTTTATGTTTTGCTTAGGTAGTTTATCGAATTTCTGTTATATCGAATTCAGGAACGGCTTCAAGTAACAAGTGTAAAGCACATTAGGTAGGCATCTACATTTTTCAAAAGGACTAGCCGCGATTATGTCCTCTTGTTCGTGACTAGTCTTGAAGGTTCTTTAGCTTAGCTGTTAAAAAAAATTTCGTCTTCATTCTCTCCCTTCTTTAGGTTCAGAATTTTATCAGCAGAATTGTATGCGATTATTAAAGTTTTGAAAATGATTCATGCGATACTTATTTTTTTTTTTTTTTTAATTTTATTTCAATGTTTTTTTTTTTAATAATTATGAGACGAATAGGCTTATTTAATGTGCATGGATATTATTATCTAATGATAATAAGGGTTTAAATGTAGATACACTATTTTTTTCTTTTATACACATACTTTGTTCCCGCTGTATATAGTTGAACACCTAAAAACGTAAAACTGTACATACGAGAGTATCGCCCCCAATTATTGGGATTCCGCTTATTAATTTTATTCATTACTTAAGATTATTAGATTTTTTACATCTACTTATATTCTACATCAATAATAATCGCCTACAGTTCGTTAATTCTTGTTTCTTTCTCATATTCATCATCAATCATTCTCCTAAAGGTCGCAATCATTAATATTTTATACACGATTTTTTTTTTTTTTAATTTTTTAATTCTTTTTTTTCATAATATTTCGCTCAATGTAAACATGATTTTTACTTCTAGAGTATTCTTATTATTACATACAAGTTTTCTATGGGTATTTAATAACTAGAACGAGATGATTCTGTAGAGAAAAAAAAAATGAATTTCTATTTTATTTTGCTCGATGTCAAACAAACGCTCAACACATGCCAGCAACATTATTATAATTGAAAATTTATTTACGCTACAATGTTATTTTTATTTCAGTCATTTCAAGCGGATCATTAATCCGATCTGCGTATTATTTAAATTCTCATAATCATATCGTGGCCTGAATTGACAAGTAATTGTTTAATTTTTAATTGTTCATTGATTATTATGTTTTTTATTTTATTTTTAATTATTTCTATTCATTTATATATTTATTTTGTTTCTACCATAGGTCGTTTTATAATCTTCCGTTTATTTTTGAATCATTATTTAATAATTTCTAATTTTTTTGTTCTCATACAAATAAACAATTGGCCCATTTATTATTAGTCAATTATTTTTATTCATCATCGCATAACATAACTGAATATTTTAAGACCAAAATCATGAATAATAACATGCAATATGTATTTCAGTCTTTCACACCATTTTTATTTTTTTTTTTATGACAATTTTTTTTACGTCATTAGTTATGTTTTTTTTTTTATAATAATTGCACAATTTTCCTGATATAAAAAAACCTGAGAAGCAAAAATGAAATATTTTGATACATGATATAAAGAGTTAAATAAATAAACAACATGCAAATAATTTGTAAATTTTTTCAGTTCAGCTGAATAAGTTAAATACTGAATCATTGATGTTTTAAGTGGACGAAACAATTCAAAGTGAGATTACTTTCATTAAAAAATTATTCTCAATTCAATAATACAAAGGCAGTGGTCGTAATTGTTTTAATGATTAATGCATTACCCTTGAGCTTTTTTTTTTTTTTTTTAAAATTGATAAAATTACTGACGATAGTAGAGAATTTATAAGCGATGATGATCTATTTAAAAATAAAATGACATATAAACTAAATAATTACGTAATAAGCACATGCTTACTTCCATAAAAATATACTTTTTATCAAGTTGATATTTACGTTTTTGTATTTAAATAATGCAATATTCTATAGTATAATTGCAAACGTTGCATTCATATTTAGTAATAGCGATGATGACAATACGAAAAAAACTGTAGTTAGTATTAAAGAAAAATTATTATTATTAATTGTTAATTCTTATTATTGGAGATCTAAGTAAGACAGTGGTAGTTTAATATCACAATAAGACTACTCAGGCCTCGTGAAACTTGGGCATCTGTAATTCATGATTCTCTCTCTGAGGTCTTTATTCATCCACCATTATTCGTTTATTTTATACAAGAAATTGCCTGTCGTTACTTGAACTAATCGATGAATCTATAGACTGAAAAATGTGAGAGTGTAAGTCTATCACACGGTTTTTATTCCAGACTATTCGGAAGATCAAACGACGTATTTATATTTCTTTTTCTACCAGTCTTAGTTTGATTAGCGAAATTACTTTATTTCTTTTATTTATTTTTTTAAATATTTTTTGTTTTGATTATTAAAAAAAATGTTTTTTAACTTGTCAACCATAATGATACAATTTCTTTTTCAACATTATTATTAACCATGTGTGTAGACACTCATCATTAATATTTTTTCCCTTTCTCTTATCTTCATGTAACGTTGCTACCTGGATCTACTTTAGCCTCTTAACTCTCATTGCATGCTGCGTGACTAACGACAGTAATTACACCTCGATTTGAGTTGATGGAAAAAAATGTCGAGCTACTCTAAGTTCTCCTTTTACTCCTACAGCCCCTACTCATATATTCAAGCTGCACATCACCATCGCAGGCCGGATTATTCTCGTTGCGTTGAATAAAAATGGATAAAATTAAAAAAAAAGAATAGATCGTTGTCGTCTTCGTTAACCGGCCCAAGCATTTGAGTATTATTGTCGGAACTCACAGTCACAGGCAAATGAATGGGTTTTGTGGTCCCGAACAGCGCGAGAACTTGGTACCGATAAAGTGCCGAGGACGATGATGATTTAACTGCGCGAGTCTACGTCCTGAAATGAAGGAAACCATTCAGAAGTGGCTGGCGCAGACGCGGCTTCACAATATTGGTGGCAGGAAGGTTCCAGAATCATCGAGGTTGGGATCCAAACTCGCAACGATGTCACCAGTAGATGCGTGTCGAGAAGCAGCTGGTTGAGTTCCACTCGCCAAGGCATGACTACTTGCACTTCCATTAAGTTTGCTCTTTACAACGAGTGCATTATTGTCTGCATTATCAATTGCTGTGATCTTTGACATCATACACTTTCGTCCTCGATAAAAACTATACACATTATATTTTTGATCAACAGACGAACAATTCTCCAAAGTGGTAGCGCGTTGTCTTGGCGCAGTTACCGAGATTGTGTGAGCGTGACTGGTTTGATTAGTTGGCTCGACCAACATCTTCATTGATCCTACTACCGATGAACCCATTGAAGATGACGTACTCAAGTGTGAAGACGAAGATGAATTGAGCCATTTGTGCTGCATCGCTTCATCCGGTGTCATCCTGTCTTTAGGATCCCATCTAATAAAAATAATTTCAGCGAATTAGTCAAATAAGATTATGGTTTGATGAAATTTTTAATAGAGAATGCTGAGATAAACTTACTCTAAACATCTGGTGACAAAATCAATAAACAGCGGGTCAGTAGAACGAAGAGCCATGGCAACGTTTCTATGACCAGGTCTTCGTTTCCTTCCTTTGCTATTAACTATACATCTAGGATTACCCCTGGAGTCGAAAAACAATCTGCGACGATTTGCATGTGCGATTAGTGATTCTGGTGGCGGTCCCAATACCTCCATAATACACGCAAGCTGTTCAATCTCATTTTCTCCAGGGAATAAAGGATATCCGGTGTGTAATTCAGCAAGAATACATCCCAGACTCCACATGTCTATTGAAGTATCGTATGGTAGTCCAAGAATCACTTCAGGGCTTCTATAAAATCTTGATTGAATGTACGTGTAGACACGTTGATGACTATAACATGATGATCCAAAGTCTATGACTTTAATCGAACTACTGCCACGTTGTTTCAAGAGAACATTTTCCTAGAAAATAAAATTGATTCATTTAACTTTTAATTTCAATTTATTAACACTTTGTGATAAAAAAAATTTCAATTTGTTTCTTGAACGCTGTATTTTTAACATAAAATTCCGATCATTTCTCAAGTATTTTTGGTACACTCAAATGTATATCATAAAATATTATCCATAAATGTGTATGAAACAAGATGATAGAAATACTTGCACGAGGATAACGACGGCTTTCGTCATGCTCATCAGACACGCACATAAATACTTGAGAAATGCCAAGAAGTATCTAAGTGCATACAAGAAGTTTACACCGTGAAAATGTGCAAATTGGTGCACGTTAAATTTCTCTCTTTGTATTTCTATATCTTCAATTATAAACCACTATAGAACCTTCATTAATGTATTCTTAGTTTAAATACACTATTCTATGCTATTTCCGTAGGACAACTGCTACAAATTTCTCACTTACCGGCTTTAAATCGCAGTGGATTATGTTCTCACGGTACAGCAACCTCAGACAGTTTATGAGAGAGTTAGCAAAACGACGAATTAAACTCAGACTGAATCCGTGATAGTTGTTCTTTTTGATCAACTCATAAAGATTCAAGCTAAAACATATTTCGTGGTTAATTTTTTTCATTTTTAAAGTCTATTTTTAGACCTATTTATTCCACTTAAATTACCTCATAAGTTCAAAACTAATGCACAAATGGTTCCTGAAGTAGAAGTACTCCAGCATGTGTATCACATTGTGTTGAGAATCTGCCTCAAGATCTTTTTTTCTTAGATGGTCTAGAATTCTCACTTCTATTAGAGCTTGATGATGGAACCTCTTTTTATTTCTGAAAAAAAAGAAGCAAGTTAATATGTGAGTGAAATAAATATAAATCATCTTAATTAAATTTATTGCTATTTTATTATGTCTTACCTAATTATCTTGATGGCGATATGCTGACCAGTCTTATGATCTAATGCTCGGATTACTTGGCCAAAGCTCCCTTTTCCTATCACTTCTAATATCTCATATCTGTATAACATATAAATTACAATAAATAATTGCAAAATGAAATAATTTGCATAATTAAAATATTACTATCGTAATAACAGCTCGTTTTTATAGAAAAATACATCAAATAAAAGTTCATTTTACATCTTTTATATCATGCTTGTACTATTTGAAGGGATTAACTTCATTACGTAATATAAATAGAGTACTTGAACGAATATGAAATGAATTTTATGAGAATTCAGATAATGTAATTATTTTTTAATAGCCAGCTTTTTATGAGTTTAATATTTTATTTTAATGAATATTAATGATTTTGATAATAACAAACCTATAGGAAATATGATCATGAGGAATTTTGTGGTAACTTCCTGTATCATCATCATATCCACTATTTTCGGCACCTTCCTCTCCATGAATTTTGCATGCAGACAATCCCAAGTACCAAATCTCTGAGTACTTTTCAATCTCCGTGCGCTCATACTCAGTCAGTCGTGATCCGTAGTACTTGGTTGCTTCTTGCGGTGTCATGGGCAATCTACGTCCTACAGAAAGAACAAGTAGCAATTAAGAAAGACATTCAAGATGATTGAACAAAGAACAATTATGAAGAATGTCTCAAATGTTTTATTGACTTTTCTATCAACCTTAATTTAAGTTCTTTTTTAGAGAGAATTAAAAAAAATTTTTTAAGTATAGTTGAAGTTGAAGGTCTTGGAAAATTAACTCAAAAATTCAATTAAATTCTGATGGAATATCTGCTGTATTTAAATTACACCATTATTTTTTGTTGTACTGATTATTTTTACTCACCATAGGCATCAATGTGCACACTTGTGTTAAGTGGATCATGCAACGGCAAGTTGTGAATGTTGTTAGACGTCGAGTGATTTCCATTGTTGTTATCAGTCGTGTCTCGTGACGGTTTACTATTGCTGAGTGACGGTAATTTCTGGAACAAAAAAAGTTGTTTTAAATATAAATTCCATTATTTGCAATCAATACATAGAGAATTTATGTTTTTATCAATTATTTTATAAAGACAATTCAATTAAACGCTTCCTATAATATCAATAAATCAAAAAAACGTTCATTTGCATTCAAGGTATATATTTTTTAATCTATCTAAATGGAAACAATGTTGGCAAGTTTAATTTCAATTTACCAATTATTAAAATTAAAATAAAAAAATGACCTTTCAGTTTGAACAGAAGATGATAAATTTTTTAATTTTTCATGTATAGAAGTGGATGAGAATTTAATGAAAACTATATGTATATAAGTATAAAATAGAAGCGTGAAATTGTCGACTTGGCTGAAATTGCGACCTATTTTCAGCTACACTGGGTGAGAGTTTATTTTTAGGTAATTATTTCTTTCACCCCCTCTGAGAAGTACACCAAGAGTAATGGAATAATTTTTTCTCGTTACCTTCGTTTATTTTTTCTCTCTAACACTTGACTTCCAAAACATCTGCATGAAAGTGTAGAAAAAAAAAATGGACACAAAGTCTAAGCCATAGTTACCAGATTCAGCCAAGTGATGAATGTCACCGCATAAATCTTTTCATTATCCATTTAAAAAAATAATCATTCTTCATGTAACTTTCCAGATTTATTTCAATAACCTTTTCTCATGCCAATTGACTTTGCACAATATTTTACAATCAACATGATTACTTCCCGAAACTCGAAATAAATAGTGCTGAGTTAGCCAGCTATTTTTCTAAACTGTCAGGACTAATAACAGAAACGCCAGACTTTTTAATGGACATTGTTCTACCAAAGAACTTCACCATTTATCAGCACGTGAAACAACAACTCCCTAAAAAAGCAACTCTACTGTTTTCTAGTTAGTATTGATTTACAAAAAGTATTGAAAGTTTTAAAGAATTTTTTAAAAATTCTACAGATTATTATCTCGAAACTATTTAAGGCATTGATGAGAATGTAAATAGAAAAAAGTTTTTAATTAAATATTCTTTTCAATGTGATAGTAATTGATAAAAATAAAAAATTGGTTGATTGTTTTGGAAAATATGTTATATTCCATCATCCCACATAATTAGAAAAAACCAGTTATGAAACTATTACTCATGATATAAACATTTATGCAGATAAAAGACAGCAATAAATATACATAGTTGCATAAAGTAGAACAAGTGAACTATTCAATCATTTAAATGAAGGAAAAAATATTAAAGTGATAATAATTACTAATTAAAAATGGAAAAAAGACATTTTTAGGATTATTTCACTGCATATATATTAATGAGTCATAATTCTCAATTGAAATAAAATTTTTTGTGAGGATACAGTTGAAAGGTTAGAGTTGAAAGTTCACATAATTTTTGTGCTTCATCCAGCCCCATCATTTGCGTTAAAAAATTGTGTAAAGTTGGTCAAGCAATTCAATGTTTACATATTACTGTACTTCAACAGAGTCTGTCAACGACCCTCCCACATGGTTAACGACTCCGGAAAGTCTCTCAATAGCTTTTTCCGTATTTCTATTGCTCGATTACACTTGACGTTGCCATATCATGTGATTATAATCCACGGCTATTCTCTCTCAGGTGCTCTTCTAGACTCGATGTCTCTCATTAGGATGGATGACATTCCTTGGCAAAGCCAGTGGGTAGCCCTGAACAGGCAATTATTCTTCAACGAGTATGCGGTTTACCTTGTGCCAGCGCATCTCTCTCACCACTGGTGTCCAAGCCTTTCTAATACTGTCCCTCCTAGCTGGTTGCACCGTGCGACTATCTATTCATCCAAGTACACATACGCATTTCATAGAAATAACTGTTTGTACACCTACTAGGAGTTTATATCGCGTGTAATGAACAGACACGTGGGTTATGTCGACGCCAACTCACTCACTGACTTGTGTCAAGTAAGAAACAGAAGCCTTGTTAGGAAAAACTGATAATGTTGTCAATATAATCAACCAGACTGACGTTTTAATTCATGCTTTATGAACTATTTTTTAAGTATTGGCTGTTATGTAACACCAGTCATGGTGGTAGGAAAAAATAATCAACTTTCTTCATGAAAGACTTTGATTTTTCTCAATGAAGCATTGATGAAGCTGATGAAATTTATTTAATCAATTTGAAACTTAATTATTCAAAGCATGTTGTGTGAAGATTTAATAGAAATATTCAATAAAACTTGAGGCATTGAAATCATGATGATTTGAAATAAATAAATAAAAGTTTGCTTGTTCAAAGGTGTTGAATCAGCTCGGCAATGCAATCATCTAAATTGATGTCTTAACTCACATCTTGTAGATAGCTTTTTATTAATTGATAATTACATCATAAAGTTCAAGGAAAAAATGAATTTCTTTTGCTTTAGAAGATTATAATATAAATTCATTTACCACACCATTGCATTTATGTATGTAATATGATTGAAAAAAAAACTAAGAGCATTGAAGTAGCACAATTATTTAGTGACTGTACGAAATAATATAAAGTTTATTAAGTGGATTTGTCAATGTACTAAACTGACTTTTTAATTCACATTTTATTGAAAATATTTTTTCTCCTACGAAAAATAGAATTTTAATAAAAAATTTTAGAATAAATGCTTTTTGATGTTTAAGGATGTAATATTATTTCACGACTAATTACAAAGTTTAAATTATTTTATTCGTATTTGGTTAAAGCTTAATTTTCAAGAAAAAACGATTTTACCTAACTAATTAGTGAAGTCAACATTTTAATTTGTAATTCACATTGAAACTTATTTTCCAATTAATTTAACTTTACAAATTAAATTGAAAAAGACTTCTGATATTCACTGAATAAAATCAAGAAATTTTATCACATTTATTTTTATTGATATTTATCGTTAATGAAAAAAGTAATATGAACCATTTTTAATAAATGCTGGCAGTCTTGTCAATATAATCATTCAGGAGTTTGGAGTTGAACATCATTTTATGTATTACAATGTAAAGTTTAATAAAGCAAACTTCATATAGTTTAAAATGAAAAAAAATATGTCCAATATGCTGTTGGAAAATTAAATTTAAAAAAATGATTGTCATAAAGCTTATTTGCATATACGTGGATAGTTTTTTAAAATCAATTTCCCTGACTTGGAGCACAAAAGGCCAATACTTGAGGGTACCAATGAATGATTTAGAAAGTCTATTCAATTCTCTAACTCGTCTTGGTTCCCTTTAGGCTATTTACCATAATTGCATAAAGAAAATCAACTCCTAACAGATCTTATATTCACAGTCTATCAGTATTTCTCATATCCCAACAAATAAGTCTTCGACACTTAAGTAAATTCTACCAACTGTTCAACGTCTGATTCAAGATAATCTCCCTCATTTCTTCCTACTAAAAAATTCAAAACACTCTTCTAGTGGTTATACACTTTGACTTGACAAATTTTCCATTGTGTCACTCTTCGTATAATACAATGAACGAATTTTTTGGTCTATCTTTTTTAAAGCATTCTTGTCAGTTTCATATTTTTAGTAATATTTTTTATTATTCCCCTTCATTCTTCGATTTATATCTCCAGAATATAAAAAAGCTAGGGTTGGAATTTCTTTCCCATAATTCATGTTCTCGTGGAAATGATGAGGATTAAAATAAATTAAATGGATGAATCCTCCAGAGGATCTATCAAAAAATAATGTAACTGTTAGAAGTTGTATTATACCACTAGAGTTCCTTAAGAAGACAATTTTATGCTTCATAAATTATATCTATTGTAGTAGTAAAAGCCACACAGTAATTTTTTACTTAACATTTACTACAGAAGCCATCGTCTTATGGGTTGTAAAAATGAATAGAGTATCAACTTGATTTACAAGATGATATTTATCATAAAATCTTGCGTTAATTTTTTATCACTTGATAATTAGATCCAGCAATTAGATAGATTTATTTTATGAATTTCTGTTTTGATTATGAATAATTGCTATCAGCATCATTCATTCATCTTGATAATTATTTATTTAATTCATATAAACAATAATTAATCATTGATATTCATTCTGCTCAATTATGGATTCAATTTCTTCCCAAAACAATATTTATTTTCGATATCACTAAAACTGTTATCCAGTCTAGACTCCATTACAGCCTTTAATCTCTCACGATGAGCAAGCCATGTCACTGGTAATCAAATTTTTCATACAAGTTCATTATCTCGAGTCAAGCTGCAGAACCCATTGGCTTGGAAAACTGTCTATAACTCATTCTCTCTTTCTTTTATCCTCAAGGCAATGAATATGATCGTATACTCGCGTCTCGTGGTCAACCACACTCATGGTAAATTCGTAACAATTAATTTCAATTAAACTCCCATTTGGTACGGCGCAAATAAATCAAATGGAACGACACCAATGTGCCTCGAAGTCTCGCCATATCGTTCAACATAAGTTGTCGTTTTAATAACCAAGACGTTCATCTCATCCAACATCTTCTTTCTCCTCTCTTTATTTCATTTCTGTCATTTTTACCTCCTTCACTTTGATCATATGCGGTGTCATAGATCATCCCTGATTGCGTGAAATTCAAGCTTCGATTCACTCTCTTCCGGCTCAAGACCTGGTGTCTTCAGGCATCTCCATACTTTTTACTCGCTTGATATGAGGTTCATTACACTCTACCTCAGTCTCACATTTCCAATGTACTGTAATTTATTTTCATATCAAATTGTATATTCATCGATATCCTAGTAACAACATTATAATATATTATTCCTAAGTAAACGTAGAATCAGTATTTAAATCAATTTTTCAATCATTGCCAACTATTTAGCTCATTAATAAGTACACTTTCTAGTGCATAACGTGTTAGTTAAGATAAAGTATGAGACATGAAAAAAAAACTTCTGCCAATTATTAATAGATTTATTGGAAATAAATAGTATATTTATCAACGTTTATTGCTAGCCAAAATGAAGAATGAAAATTAAAGAG